TGGAGCAATTTATGGTGGAGGAGTGGAGGAGTATCCCAGATACTGTTATAAAAAATCTTGTGGGCTCAATGAGACATCGTTGTGAGCTTATTATTGAAAATCATGGAGAGAGAATTGCTTACTAATTGTTATTAATAAAATCTGTTGGTTTCTGCCTTTCAAATAAGCTATAAACCATTTAATTTGGTCCATTCATTGAGACACAGTGAATAAAAATTTTATTCCGGTTTTTTTTTTGACACACTGTACTTCAGCTGATAGGTAGGTGTCTCTTTATCTTGTTCTTCTGAAGGCAGTGATATCATAGAGGGTTTGGAGGGTTTGGAGGGTTTGGAGATTGTTGATGGCAAGGTAGAGGGAGATGGTTTCTGTTGTCTCTGGGATAGGTTCTGCTCCTTCACAGAGTTCCTGGAAAGGGATCCAGAAGAGAAATGCCTTTTGTCCCTGATACTTGAATTGGACTGCTTCCCCAGTTGTTTCAAAGCTGACTTCCCATTCTTTCCATGGCAGATCATGGTATTGTTGTCTATTGATTCTTGTTGGCCAGTAGGAGTGGAGGTATTCCATAACTTCTCCTTTGAGGACCCAGAGGACAACTGGTCCTTCCTCAGTTTTAGTTTGTTTCTCTGTTGCATAGATTTGGATGGTTGCTTTAACAGTCAGAGGGTTTTTCTATTGAAGTGCATTTTTTTCTGAGATAAGGTTGGTTTGTTAAAAGTGTTTGATTAAAGTGTTGTTTGATAGTTGCTGTTGATTTACTTTGCTTGCTGAGTGGCTTGCTTGGTATTATCACTGCTGTGAAGATGAGGTTGAGGATGGGGAAAAGAGGTGTTTATATAACTTTTGATATTGACAGTGTTACATATCACCAATTTTCACTGTACAAACTGCCATTATTAATTTGTGCTACATGGACCAATAAAAATATTTTCGAAAGTTCTTTCATCGTTTGTATGCCAAAAGTTATCAGGCAACTTAATGTATCACCTTCATTAATTTCATTTATCTTAGCATGATGGTAGACAGATACTGATTTCAACGTTACTCAAGCGCCAATTTCAAATTATGAAATTCTAATTCGCAAATATTCCTTTCGGTCGTCCGATTGGTGTTTTCTGACACAAACATTGTTCGAATCTTCGACAAAGAATTGCCAAGTTTCATTGCCGTTAATCCGAACCCGTATTAGTATTAGTATTAGTAGTTCGTCGATTGATTAACCGTTTCCGTATTCAATCGTTGATAATTGGTCATTTTGTCCCTTGTATTCCTCAGTTTCTACCTCATGTATGACTTCGCGAGGCGTTGTCATTCGTAAACAATTCACTTTTGTATAACACTATACTCTGTTGGTTTCTTCCTGTTCGTTAATTAAGGAATTCGTACTGATTGAAATCCTGTTTGGCGAATCGAAGTTAGTATTTGAAATTGTGTCGCGTGACGTGTTGTTGTATGACGTTAGTTAAATCTTATTAACCAAATCGACGTTGTGTTGATAATTTCGAAATTGTACCTTCCACAATGATTTTAACTATTCCTAGGTTATGCCTTGCGGGCGTTAAAATTTACCCCGGCCAAGTGACAGAACGCGCCGTCGAATCATCTCTTTAGAGCGTCGGACATTTAATGTGGGGGCTGGTATAATAATATCCGTTTTTTACGCATAAATTCTAAACGAGAGCTTTTACAATTGCATTTATTGTCTTTTAATAGATCGCTTGCAATAAGTTTTATGACAAAAGTTTAACGATGTTCCGTATATTAATATTGATATGCAGGGTAATGGTTTTTTACAATTAGGGCCGGTTGGACTTCGTTTTAAGAACAAGAGTTAGAAACTCATTTAATTGACCAAAACGTTTGAACTTTACGGCTGAATATTTTCAGCTGTGAGGAAAGGTCGGGTTTATAACTAATTTCTAACTACCGCAGTATTTTATATCCAATAAAATACAAGTAATAAAAATTATCACGTGGATTTCAGCATACTTGTATAGTCCAATCAGGTGCTGGGGGTTTACATTCGAAACAGTAGAGCTTTATTTTAGATTCTAATGCTGTTGTACACGCAAGACATAATTGCATCTCATGTTGCTCCTTTAGTAGATAATACAGTATGTCTGTATCAATGATGGATGTTGATCACACAACTATGCAAATTAAAAAGGGTTATTATTATATTTGTACCTGGTAGTCACCTGTCTCATATCCGTAAGTATACTTACTCTTTGTACACATTACTTTTGCTTTTTAGCTCATTTAAATTCTCTTTTCATTAACAGCGGAAATACTGGATTACTTTTTTTTTTCAAAGAAACTTTTTGTTCGGAATATCAAGTATTTTAATTTAAGAAGCTTAACGTTCCAGTTTTATTATTTTTCTGGAAGTGTCTTTAACAAGTTCACAGTTTGTTTACAGTAATAGCCATTGAAAAGCGAATTAAGTGTAAAAATACTTTCTATATTTAGTCGCACTGGGAACTTCAGAAAACAAATTAACATGAATGTGAAAGATTTGTTTCATTCTTGATACATTAATTTCTTTATTTGAGTATGAGCTATTATCATTTTCATTTAATCTTTCGACTATTAAACAGCTAATCTTAAGTTTATTATATTATAAGTATTTAGGGGACAAGATCTTGCAAGGGATCTCTCCTCCACTTCTTAGACAAGAGCATTCATCAATACAAATACAAGCTAAGTAGTACTAAAGTACATCTGAAAGCAAATCTAAAGCTTATAGTTTCATGATTAGGAAATAGCATAACGGAATCTAATCAGCATAAGAATGACAACCAGTAATAAAGTAACAAACGAATGTCTCTTATAAGTGTTTTACGCTGCAAGTGTTTCATCATGTGCTGGTTGCGAAAGTTTCTTTTGTAAAGATACAAGGCGATTTTGAATTGAGATTATAACTGCATTGTAACGACATAGGAGAAATTGTGAGTTTAGGCACAACAGAAGAATGTAGTAGACATAAAAGCATTTGCTTACGTTTGTTTAATATTTGTTTATCTTCTTCATCCATCCCCTCTTCATCATCTTGGCAATCCAGAATAGCACATAGCATATAAATGGCATTCTGGTAAGTGCGCTCACATGTAGTGAGATCTTCCCCTACCAATTCAATAACAGCAGCTGACCGACTCTAGAAAAGAAAACATTCTCAACGGTAAACATACAAATCCTGTAAAATGTAATCACACATTATCTATGGTTCATGAGCTCACCATTTCTAATGCTTTATCATACAAAAGCTTCTCCGGAAACACCTCCGCAGCATTCTCATCATCAGTGCGACATTTGGACTTGGCATACTCGGCTCTTTCCAAACATTCGTTAAACCGAACACGGACCCATTGAACAGCTAAATTCACCAATTGATATATAAATAAAAGTTAACAAATTTTTTAACCTTCTATTTAGTTGATGAACAAAACACAGGATGTAACTGCCTACTCACCCATATTAAATTTATGTGAGACTGTCTTGTGTCCAGAATACTCGGGTAACCCATTCCAATGATCTTTCGCAGTGTTCATTGCTGATTGAAGTATGCTTAATGCTCTTAGATAGAGAGCCAGTGCTTCTTCTGCTAGGACAGCTGTAACCTCGGGAGATGTGACTGGACTTTCAGCCAAGGTTATACTACTTGCGGTTGGAAGTGGAGGGAGCAGTTGATGGAATTTGCTGTCGGCAAACCGGTAGACTACATATGCTTTGTTCGCAGCATCTTGTATGATTTTCACTACTGCTTCCTGTGGAAAAAAGGCGGAATTATTGTCAGTGAATTGTAACTACTAGATTCGATATAACCCAGTCAAGTATTTATGCAAACTATCCCAGAATTAAGATAACTTTATGTACATATTTGCAACAAAAAAACAAATACATAATCTATTATACATAATATAGCGGTATTCCCTCATGGAATACACCATACGTACCTCTTTCGGATCAATGTCTTCGTCTGGTAACATAATGGCATTCGACTTCCTCCTAGCTTCTTTTCCTCCAAACTTTGGTGGTGAATTACTACTTCCAAACAATCTCTTCCCTGCAATCGATAATGCCTCTGCCAACGCTCCACTTCCCGAGCTTCCGGCTGATTCCAATTTCTCAGAACTAGTAGATATTGCAAACGGTGGAGTCGTAGAGAGGTAAGTTGTGTTGGTTGGTATCGGTTGTGCATGGCGATTTTGGAAGTCAAAGATCGGATATCCTTGCGTGTGTGGTGCAGAAGAACCAGAAGAGGAGGAAGAGTGTTTACGGTTGCGACGTATGCCAATTGGGTTCGTTTTGGGAGATGCTGCAAGTTCTATGTTTGTATGTTTGTGAAAATAAAACACATCCATTAACCAATTATATAAAAACAACTGCAGATAGCTATAAAGTTTACAACGCCTTCAAACTTTCTCCCACAACTTCTGGTTAGAATTTTCATACCATCAGCAAAAGCATTAACATCAATCTGGCTTGGATCAATCACGACATACTCTCGCTCGAATGCAATCTCTTCATCGCGACGACGGAGGCAACTATCGTCAGTTTGATCAATGTTATTTCCTCCATGTATCACATTTCCGTTACGTTCGCCGTTCACTCCATTTGAGCCATTTGAAATGCTATCACTATATGACCGCCTTTTGGAAAAATCAATATATTGGCTTGCCTGTTGAACAAGTAAGGAAGGAGAAGGGGAACGATTGTAGGATGACCGTTGCATTTCGGCGAGATGGCGATGGGGCGAAGAAGAGAGGCGATCGGTTGGAGAATTTTGGGAATGGTAATTATATGTACCCGGAGGGTTTTGCTGATGACGGTGAGCGCTAAGTGGTAAAGAATTGAGTTTGGGGGAGAATTGTATATATTATAACGAACATCTGTTAATATATTACTTGGACATAAATTCGCTCTGTCAAAACAAAACACAATGACACGTCTGCTCTTTCAATCAACGTATCATATCATCCTCACACATACCGCGAATATCCAGGCTGCTGCGATGATTGTTGTTGCTGCCTGACATTTTCTTTTGACACTTTCCTTCCAATCGCGCCACCCAATGTTGCCAATCCCTTCCCTCCACTATCTCTTATCCGCCCATTTTTCCCCCCGGTCGGCACTCTCTCCTTCTCCCTCCTTTCAGATTCATCCTGATAGCCGACCAATGCTGGTGAAGATATAGACCGGTCTCGTACGTGACGAGAAGACTTATCTGTAGCGGGTAACGGGTTACGATGTTCAGACTGTTTTATCCGAGAAGAGCCCGCCTGTCGCGGGTAAATGTCTCCTAACACGCAGGGATGCATGAAGAATTCTTCGAATGATATTCTTTCCACCGGGTTTTGTTTAAGTACATGTCTTATTAAATCTTTTAGTTCTTCGCTTATCCCTGGATGCGCAGGTACTTTCCCTTTTAAGGTAGCTTTACTGGCCCCATCCGTATTGCCGACATTATATGTAGCGGGCGAATCGCCTGGGAATTTAATATTGTCTTCTCCCTGTTCGATTTTTTTCAACAAATCAATATGATTTTGAGCCCTGAATGGTGGTCTGCCAGTAGCCATTTCATATAGCACTGCGCCGACGGACCAGAGATCGGCTTTGGCATCATACTTTTCATAGCGGAGAATCTCGGGCGCCATGTATAACGGCGATCCGCAAAGTGTCTCGGCTAAGCTGGCGTTTGGTAGGAAACGAGCAAAGCCGAAATCGGCAATTTTGAGGATTGGAAGGTCCGGTGAACCGATCAGCGTTGGGTCTGGATTTGGAGATGGAGGTTGTAGGAGAAGATTCTTTTTGAAGCGTTAATGCAAATAATTAGTTATGTATATTGGATGATATGGATGAGGGTAGAAGACCCAAATAACAAAGATAAAATATAGAGCGACGTTGAAATATCCTTATTATAATATAAGTGTTAATTAACGGGCACGACGACACACGTAGTTATTGTAGTTTTTATAAACACAGGTAATCACTCTCTTTTTTCTTTTTCCTTTATTGTCCTCAATGCCGCTCATAACTAACTTATTCCCCTTGTAGCCTATTTTCGTTGAGAATAAAAGCCAATCACATATTTCTCCTCTCTGGAACAGAAATGTAACAACGTATTGAGAATGTACCTGTGGTTTGATATCTCTATGAATGAGATTTTGTGATCGAAGAAAACCCAACGCGTTCGCTGATACAGATAAAGAAGAATGAATTAGAGAGATGATTCAAAAAGCGATATCCTGTTAAGTTACGCTCTCTCTCTATCTCTCCCTCTCTTCTCGTGATAGACAGTTTTATTGCATCAAACCCAATTGGATACGATCCAAGCTTTCTAACCAAATTGTATTATACACCAACCTAGCTGCTTTAAAAAATGGCGTACAACATGCTCACTAAGCCCTATAGGCGCATTAGATCGCGTATGTGATACTGTTCCTGAAACAGATGCATCTCTGCGCCTTTTGATATAATTCGACAGATCACCCATGGAACAGTATTCCATTATTAAGTGAATATGAGTTTCGGATTTCTATGTGGAATTATACGTATAGAAGTGCATCCGGTCAAAACCATGACATATTGCGAAAACTGAAACAAAGTTGTTAAAAAACGTGTATGTTTTCCTATATTTGACCGTATGGTATTGTAATGATAGTGCAAGTTACCTGGCAGTCGACTAGGTGGACGATATGGTTGTGTCGCATTCCTTTGAGTATACTTATTTCTGACTCGAGATTCTCCAGAAGTTTTCTGTTTAATTTTAAGAGTACGACAGATTTTATTGCCACTACTTCGCGGGTTGCCTGTACAGACACGGTGTACATGTGAGAGGGAAGTATTAGAGGAAATATCTTCTGTGAAATCGTGACAATTCTAAACTATTCTTACGGGTTGCTCGAACATTCACGTTCATAAGACAGGTCCTACGTATTCTATATCGTCTTAAATAGATCACTCTACCTTGTGATGTCCTTTATATACAGTCGCGAATGAGCCCCGTCCGATCTCTGGGCCTGCCACGTAATTTCCCACACCTTGTGGAAGTTCCTTCAGCTCGGGATGCTCATGTTGTCTTGTGGTTGTAGACATGGTGAGTAATTATAATGGTAAAACAAAGGTACAAACGTGCGGACGGGGCAAGATTTTAGATTGAAAGAATAAATATTTGAATTCAAGTGGGGTGTGGAGCGAGGGGTGAGTTTGCTTTAAACAGAAAGTCATGCGGACTGTCGGGATTTCGAATCAGTGATGACATCATTCATGATACTTAATACAGAATGTCAGTTGTGCAACAAGCCATTATGCAAAGAGTGCTTATCAATTATCGAATATTAGTTTATGCCTAACTGCGGTTATCAGAAATGGAACCTACAAACGTCAATACTGTCATTCTTTCTCTACAGTAAAACGAACAATCGCGACAATTCTTTGGCGGTAAAATAATAATCTAAGCATTCTGGTAATAGTGATTTTAACACTTATTTAGTCGTAATAGTAATAGTAACGTAACAATAATGTAATCGATAATCAAACGACTATAATGTTATTGACCGCTATTGTATGTAACACAAACTCTAAATCAGAATCACATGATTAACATTCTACTCAAGTCATTCACGTGATGTTTATTATATACTTACTTTGACGAAAAACTGTTCCTTTAAGACGCGTTATAGAACCTTCCAACATTAAAGTTGCCAACTTAATTTCTCCATTCAAACACTATTCATCATCTTTCGTACGTATAAGCTCACAACTAGACAAGGGAACATATTATGACCAACATTATTGAACCGGGCTTGAAAAAAAAGCTCCAATTTGATGACCCAGCCGTCGTCGAAGAGTTGATTCTGGATAACAAGAAGATTGGAGATTTGACAAAGATAGCACAAGGCGAAGGCGATGGAGACTTTACGTCATTGAATCAGTTGGTGAATCTGAAAGTATTGTCTATGAACCTCTGTAACCTGTCCTCTTTGCAAGGATTCCCAAAATTACCGCGTCTGCGCAAGGTAGAAAAAGAGATTACGTTACTGTGGTACATACCCAGCACGTAGAGGTTACAGTTCTCTATCTCCACTTGTATCTATATTCTCTATGCCTGCCTTCTCTACTTTAATGCACGCTCCTGCCCTTAATCTTTCTCAGATCGCTCTAACTGATAACAAGATCACCGGAGGTCTGGAACTCTTAGCAAATGCAGGGCTCGACAACCTTAACCATCTAGATCTCAGTGGGAACAGGATATCGAGCATTGACGCCGTTAAGAAATTGGTATCTATCATATTAAGATAACATCATTATCAAACGCAAATAAGGATAATAGATTTTTCGTATTTGTAGATTAATCTATTAAGTTATAATTGTCTTTGGTAGAAACAATTACCAAATCTCAAGCATTTAAACCTGATTGATTGTCCAGTTAGTCAGATAAAAAACTATCGAGAAGAAATATTTGAATCTATGTCGCAGTTAGTATCGCTTGATGGAACAGACAGGTGAGTAAAGATTTGTGGGAGCGGAAAAGCAAAAAGAACTGCTGCAACGGCTAGGAGAATGTGGATCAACAGAAGTGGAGGCAAGTAATGTAAGTTATCATTAACACTGTATTCCCGTCATGCATTATACTCAAAAGGTACGGAAACCAATTCGATTCTGAAGAAGAAAGTGATTCCGAGGTGGAAGATGATGAGGATGAAACGGAGGCTCTACAGAATGGGCATGATGGTAAGTATTTGTATACTATCCTCAATAGGTTTATATTTAATCAATTGAGTCTGCACATTTTCTCCGAGGCATACATACCATCTCAATTCGTATCATTCTTTTCATTCTGTTCATGTCAACCTTCTATCCAGATGAAGAAGACGAAGATATTGATACATCGGGTGGCGAAGGTGACGATGATGATGAGGAAGAAGAAGATGAGGAAGAGGGCGCAGAAGATGAAGACGAATCGGAGCAGTTGACGGTCAGTTGATTTTGAATGGTGGATGTCGGGTTTCAGTAGTAGGACTATGTAATGCGATTTATGCGATTTGGCCGATTTATTAGACGACGAAGGGGCAGTCTGACGAGTCGGAGAGCGAGCAAGAGGAAGAGTTGGTGGGTCTTCTGAATTGAGAAACTTATTTTAGAGAAATGTTTGTACAATGCGGCCATATGTTACAATTTATATATGGGACATAGTCCATGTGATATAATTCATTCGATATTAGCCATATATGGTACTAACTTTTTATTTATCAGGAAGTAAGCGAATCTGAAACACCAAAATTGCCAAATACCACAGTTGATAAGGGCAAAGGGGTAGCAGTCCCTTCAGAATCCGAAGATTCCTCCGGAGAACTTTCTGAAGAACAGTTGTCACTATCATATCTAATGGAAAAGGTGATCTCATTTTGCTCTTGTTAACTAGTCTCGATGTTTCAGATGATGTTTGTCGTTACCTTGATATTCCTTTTTTACTTTCCATTAATATCGTGGTCATTCTATAATTATATTTCTTCCTGGACTGTCTTTCCTTTCAGGAACTCCCGGAAGATTCGGATGAGGAAGAAGATTATTCACCTGGCGAAGCAGAAGAAGACGAGGAAAGTGATGTATTAGAGGAGATTGGTAGTGAAGAAGATGAAGAATGCGAACATGTACAAGCGTCAACAAGTGCGGCTGCAGCTGGATCAGCTGTGCCCGCTAAGCGGAAAGGGGAGGACGATGACGCAGAAGAGAACCGCGTAGAAAAATCGGTGAGTTTGGGAATAAGGGGATGTAATATTGTGGTGAGGGTGTAAGTTTGTTATTTCAGTGTGTATAATCGTTGTAATTAATCTTACTAAAAATGTCTCTCAGAATGCAATTAATTCCGATTCAATAGATAACAAAAAAAGCGAAACACGAGAAACCGAATCAATAAGTACTAAAAAACGACGGATGTAATAATATGGTCGTGGATGTTTATGTTTTCTGTGCGTTATTCCTTGTAATCAAATTGAAAACTTTGCTATTGCGTAAATTGATATTGTCAATCAACTATAGTTTTTTTTACATGACTTTTTTCCAACTCCTAAATTCACAAATGTAATCTGAAAATATAATAAAAAAGTTTCTGGCAATTGGATATTCTACATTTTATGTGAGATATGGTATATGAGCCACTTTTGTCTGCACTCGATGCATAAAAAATAATTGACAATACAAAATTATAAATTTAAATTTTTAGATGCAACAAACTAACATTTGACGTCACAATGGTGGCAAAGAAACAGGCCATAAAAACATGAAACCAAGTAAGAAGACAATGTAAACATTGAGAAATTTTGGTTACTCTATCATTTAGATTAAAACAGTCGTAAAGAAAATGGTGGTTGTTTTCCTTTAGTTAAAAAAAAAAAAGCTTGGCTTTGATACATTATTAGATGACTACGTACGTTTTACTAAACAGTATTATTTTTTAGTGGGCCTGTATAAATAATGTAATAGCTGCTAGTCATTTAATCCCACAATGGTATGTTATTATTATGCTATTATAATTATGTACATAGTTGGAATAAATTCAAAGGTGTTCTTTTTATTTAGTATGCAAAGCAACTGACAACGCATTATCAACATCTCACCGGGTACAATATAATCTATGTAGCAATCCATAGCATTTTAGATACTATGCGTATGGCTTACGTTCTATAAATAAGAAAGCATGTCCTATTCCGCTGAACAAAATGTGTTACAGTTGCTTGGGATAATATTATGTAGTGTGTCGAGTTAATCATCACGAGAGCTAAACCTATAATTAGCGGTTAGTTGGGTTTTCTATACTAATACTCACAACTCTTACGTTCCGGTCTTGTATACGCAAACTCTCGATGCAGTGACTGCCTCTATTCCTATCGGTGGGATAAATTCGATAGTCTGTGGGTATAATCGGGGGATGTTATATCAAAGTAAACCGTGTATAGTAATAGACAATTAGTTAGCAATCGTATTTTTGCCAACTCGGAATTCGTAGGTGCATATGCTATGAAAATGGTTGGCTAAATCAGGAATCGCAATGCTTATTCACCATGGCATTGTTGAAGAATTAACTATGTTGATATCAAAATAACAGGAGATAAAGATAAATAATGCACAATAGTACAATAAATAATTGTGCAATGCAGAGAATTATTCAACTTTATTACGAGGGAGTATTGCTCGCCAAACTAACGTTAACACATAAAGTATGACTTGATTTAGAAGTACTTACTAAAGTTGCACGAATTCCGCAACTCAAGCATTTGGCTATTAATATACTACGCGACTCAACGAGTGACTCGGTTGGAAATAAAGTCTCACACTATTGAATACATCCTCACTCCATTATCCACATTCTAATTCTAGTTTAACACTTCTATAGACACCTTCTTTGTTTCACCTCTGATTACTCATGTAAGTATATTATAGCCTGCACAAGTAGCTTGGAAATAAAGTCGTAACACTCTAACGTCATGTTATACTTAATCCTGACGATTGACTCCAAGGCAGATAAAGATGACGTCTCGGAGTTTCCAATCAAATCCCGTTATATTTACTCGAGGTGTCGACAGTTTTTTCTTCCGAGCTTCAAGAGCAAATTTGGGAGAATGATGGTATGTGAAATGTTGGATTTGGTAAGTATTTTTAATCCTTTGCTTTAGTAATAGTAATGATTGTCAATTTTAGAGTTGTTTTTTGGTTTTAGCCTATAAAGTCGAGATCGGGCAATTAATACTTATTGGGCCCGGCTTGTATCTGTTTCGTCCTTCACAATCCCAGCGCTACGTCCAACACCCAAAGCATGCCCCGAACTCGGCACATTACTGGACTTGGATATTTTGCGCGTCTGCCAAAAAACTGGGTCTCAAAACCCAAATTCATTCAAATTGCATGTGACACCAACAAGTTGATAAACAGTCGAGAACCCTATTTAGTATATAGATATTCAATTGTCTATGATTTTCAAGCACGGCACGATAACTTTAATAACTACAGACAATGGGTTTCGATAAAAAGCGAAAACGGCAAATTCCATACAAGATTTTTAAAACCGTAGAGATTACTATTGCTATTGTCACACGGCATGTTCGCACCAAAACATCATCAGTAAAGATGATCTGTTCCGGCCACAACCATTTTTAGTTCACGTAGTAGTGAAATGCTCCCTTGTCTGGTTTTTTGCTGCTGTCTACCCCTCGCCCCCCGCATCGACTTGAACTTTCCCACTGCATGTCTTTATTCTACGCCTTTCCGCACGGGATATCTAGTATATTAATATATCAATCATACTGATATAAACACGGGGCTTGCTGGCAACCCGTAAGTAAATAAATATGTGTGGTGATAATGACCATACACTATCCCACCCAGAGGATCGCACGGATTCTTATGTCGCCAGCAATGAAATGCCAGCATGCTCCATAATACAGAATAAGTGTAACAGCAGTGGAATAGTTTACACTAATGCTCAACCGGAGCTTGTATCAGATGAGAAGTTGGAAAAGGTATGTTGAGCGTAATGGAGAGCCTTGCAACTCTAATTGCATATGCTATTGCTGTGATTGTGTGCGCAAACTTGTGGTCGGCATATACTCATATCGTATGTAAATATTACGTAGTTAAGCTCAACTGGAGGCATTAGCGAAGTTCGACAAGAGTTACTGCAGACTCGAGCTCTAGTCACTGATCTCGAAACACGTTTGGACGTGTACGTGTTTTATTTACTGGTCGTTTCATACGTTTATGACAAAAATGCTTACTTTCATAATTAAACTATTTACAGCATCGAACGGACAAGCCAAGTCATAGTAGATGAATTGAAAAACTTGATAGATGAAATTCAGTATGGGTAAATAATACTAGCAATACTACTAAATAATGAATATCCAAGTCTATTGAATTACTGATTTATGTAAATATTAAGTAATAGCGCATTGTCGCTACTTAACAATTCTTACTAACCTTTTTAAACCTGGATATAGAAGTGAAAGCCACAGTACAGTTGTCGATAACGATCGACAATCAGAAATCGACTTTGGCTCAACAGGCTTCAATGATTCTCTCTATTGCAGCCAATCAAATACTAGTTTTTCCATTCCGTCATCTCCTTCTACTCAGACTGCCACTTCTATAATCTCTACGCCTACTATTTGCTGCGATGACGATAATCCCACCTTTGAGCGAATATCAGCCACACTACAATCTCTCATTCACGATGCAGAACTCGCACTAGATCGAACGTCGAAATATCTTGACTTGCCGAAACGACGTTCTCGTGCATCTAGCTGGAGTTCGTCAGTCAGCAGTTGGATAGTAAACAGATATTCGCCGACTCCATCTCGATGTGGCAATGAGCATTGTGTATCGTGTGAAGAATTGCCAAATGGAAAGCAGAACGTGATTGAGAACAGCACCGGATATTGTGTTTGCAAAAAGGAAGAGTTAAGTCAAAAACAGCAGCAGATAAAGCAGTACTACCGACAGCAATTGGAAAGACATTACGATTATACAAAGAGTTGCAATGACTTGGAAGATGAGTTACAAAAGTTGATGCACATTGCATTTTCTTCGAGTACGACGATAGACGAACAACAGACTCATCATAAAGATGAGAATTTATTTCACAATAATAATAATAATAGTAATAATAATGCTCATAATAATAATACAATGAAGAGACATAGAATTGATTCGATGCACGGACAATTACAAGGAATAAGCGATAATACATGGAACATTTCAAAACTCAGACATTGGATGTCGTGGGAATACTTTCGATCAAAGATAACCGGCTTTAGTAATTACACCGAGAGTAGCATTGAATATACCGACGCAGAAGCAACAAACTGTATGGATGCAAGCAGAATACAAGACGAGATACGTTCTGAAGAATGGTTCTACGAATATGACGATGACTGGTCTTCCCGTTCATCGGCGCATCGCACGTCATCTTCTCCACGAAGATATTCAACGTCACACTCTCTATCAAGTTCAACGTCTCACAGTTCATCCCAATCAGATGATGGCTTGGTCGTAAACACTTTAAACATCAATCCAAATATTGTCAATATACGTTCCATAGCTATTTCTTCTTCCTTCTCTTCAATTTTCCTATCAACCATTTTCCACTCAAACGTCCTCTTGTTACGTTACATAATCACGTCAGGTGGCGTCATCTTCAGTATAATCAGAACACTTCTTGAACAATCATCCACAAGGCCTGTCACGAGGACAGGAGAAATGTCGACAGGAATAAATGCCATACTAGGCAAATCAATGAAACGAAGGAGGCAAGTTAGGCCCATGGTTGCACTCTTAAAGTATTTGATCGTTTTAATTTTTGGATGGATCCTAGGACGTGGTAGTGTATTACGCAGAAGGATCACAAAGACAAGCGTGTATGAAAGAAGCGACAGATTAAAGGCTGGCGAAGATGAGGAATACCAAACTTTGGAGTTGATTAGGAGTAGTAGTACGAAATTATCCTAACAGACAATATACATATATTCACACAAATTAAGCACATCAAGTAGAGACAATATATAATTTTTAAATTGTAAAATAAATTAAGCTTTCTCTTTCTTTTTTGTCTTCCTTTTTTCTTTCTTTCCAATTTTTTTGGTTTTAACTTTAAAAATAATAATAAAAAAATTAAATAGACGACCATCTGTGATTGTATGTACGTAGTGTATGAAATAGACAGCAAGCGATTCTTTGCCACTACTCCCAAGGGTTCACCCAACAATTCTGATATCATCCATACCCATCACTCTCCCCTTCTTGGATTCCTCCCATATTTTCATACTCCCTTTCCAGTAACATCCAAAGTCTCTCTCACCGCATCCACACGATCAATTAACTCTTGAGTAAACTTGACCGCTTCTCTCCTCCTCATTCTCGCCGTCTCGAACTCGGGTGGACACACAACGCCATCTAAAGCCAGCAAGGCTTGCATGAGAGTCTCGACTAAATAATGATGAGTGTCGGTGAGTTTTGCTAAAACTTTCTCGTCCTGCTTATCGGAAGAGAGATACGAATCCACGGATAATTCAAAGGATTGTATTTGAGGGATTAGAAGAGATCGCGTGTTTTCTATGGATTGGGATATACGGGAAAGTAAGGCGTGTTCTTCTGCTGATCCTGCAGTCGTCTGAGATAGATCTTTCGACTATATATGGTGTGGAAAGTGGTGAAGTAAGTAATGTATAGCAGTCAGACATGATTAAAAAGTACAAGTATAAAACGGTAGTGATGCATCATAATTACATTAGGTTTGGTTCCCATTAACATAATCTTTGAAGAGGGGTGAAGTCCAAACGAACTCAGCGTTGCTGTATCATCCTTCATAATAGCTGTCGAAATATATTACTTAGCTGCTTCTCCCTCCCCTGTCAATGCCAACACTATAATCCTCTTTTCCACTCTTTTCTCTTCAGACCCTCTTAACTATACCTCCAGATATGAGTAGCTTCTGCCCGTTGACCGGGACACCAGTCATTTTTTTTATCCTTTCCTTCAACTGTCTCAACGTGGTCTCCTGTAAAGAACCGGGACCCTCATTCTCAAAGTCCAAATACAATTTTTCCCGACCCCAGATGATTACTATTTCTGGTGCGGATGGGGTGTCTTTGAAATACAAGTTCAACGGGTTTGAAGATAGGAATGGAAACGAGGTAAACATGTTTACAGGAAAAATAAGTAAAAGTGGTAAGTCTGTTATCTGATGAAAATGGTGCGTGAGCCGTAGACAAAGTATGGAGTGTAAACAAGCAAAGCAGTGTAATTTTACTTCTCGTGTCGTTCACAATCACATACCGTCCATGCTCGATTCCGGAAAGTAAAACGATCCAAGGAAGTGGCTTGGCCGACATTATTTCAAGAATTTAATTCTATTGGATGAAAGAAATGGCACAGCATGATTATAACAATTGGACGACACTCGTAATAACCATATTTGTATTGCTAATAACCAAATGGTGGATTGCAAAAGAAGTAATGGGGAGGAAAGTTGTAAAGGAAATATGATCTAATGCACGTAAAGCTGTCTGCTCTATAATTCTACGTATTCGGATGCGTCATGAAGTATTGCTTACTATTACACACTTATTATTTCACCTTACATTCTTTACGCGCATCGATAAACTGTTCATATTTTTTGAAAACTGTAAAAGCGTAAATTCTGAGTTACGGCCAAGACCTGGGAATTTGATAACAGAATTTTGTAATTTGTTTTAACACCAATTGAAAGACTTCGGCTTTGGCCAACGGCAAAAGCTACGGCACCTGGTATTTCCCAACCGTAGCTTAACTGCGGAGATGGCACACACAAAGCTTGCATTCGTTGTATTAGTATCTACGACTACACAACATGATCGCAATTTACCTTTCATACCACCTGAATTCATCCATCCGGCATAGCGAAAATTGAGATTGAAGATTATCTCAAAGATTCCTAGAGAATACTTTCAAGAAAAGATATTCATAGAACATATACAGAGGTTGAAGGGGCATTTATGTTCTTATAAAAAGGGCTGAAGGCATCATACTGATGTCGAATCTTTTTAGCCCTGTTAGACCCGCTGGCTGCTAATAATACTTATACTGTTAAAAAGTATAAAAGCAAGTGTTTCTGAAATATCAAATCCTTCTCCATTCCAGTACTAACCCTTTCCGTCGTCAGTTACCTGCTTCGTCATGACCGTCAAACGTAGGAATTTATTTGCCAACTCCGGTATTTTCTCATGGATAACTTTACCTTGGACTACATCTAGACAAAGCCTTACGATTCTAGGCATGCTGAAGCGGGATGTACGCGGAACACTGTGCATCCAGAGGCATTATAATAGATGTAGACTGTTTTTTGAGCGAATATCTCAGGACAAAATTAAGCATTCTATTTAGAATTAGAATATGACCATTTAACAACTTTCGTTAAGACTTGATATTTTGACCGAATAATAAATTTATATAATACAGGAGGAGTGATTATAGTGTTTAATAATTTATGGAAACAATAGTATAATTTACGATAAAAATATATATTATGCATAGAATATTAATATGTCTAATTCATAGTATAAACTTTTGAGTTGCTCATTCGGTACGTAACTATGCGACATCTACAACCCGAGCAAGGCAAACTATGAAAAAAAAAGTGTCACGGTTTAACTAGGGATTGTTTGAAATTCTACATACGGTGTTCCGCTAGGATGACAGATGTGAGCTTTTTCCACTTGCGTAAGGAAAAAATAAACAAAATACTAAAGTAATTACGATTCATGATGGACTGCGATTGTTATGATTATGTTTAAATTGTTATGTACTTATTTATATTCTTGCTTGAAAGACATCTTTTTTTGCGAAGTCTTTTTATGAAACCTTTATCGTTGTCAATTCATTGCCATTTCACGCATATTCTCCTGCGACATGTGACTGGTTCAAACGAAACTTCACCAAGTTAATCTGAACTTTTATAACAGCACAGGTGAAACTTGTCTAAACTGGCGCTGATTAAACCGGTCTCGGGTTTAACCGACTGCATAACGACTATCAGCATTTTCTTCAAAAACTACAATCAATTAACTTTAATAATTTTGTTATTTTGCTTAGTAGATACGACCAGTAGAGATTTTCGAAAAATTGGATTTTTCTAATTAATCATACCGTTTTCGGAGAGCGTGTTTGTTGTATAGCTTATTTTAACAAACATTACTAAAGCGGCTGGTTTTCACTTATACAGTCCCCGGCGAAAAGAATGGCGGCCAGTATTTTTTTTAATATGACAATTTTGTTCTTATTATTTTTTAAAAAAATTTTTTATTTAACAAAAGTTCAAGACTAATATTATAAACTTGCAAAAAAACCAAGATAAAAAGTGGCTTTCTTTTAGATCTATATTAATTTAAACCTAATATTATGAATAAAATTTTGAGTAAGTTGACAAGAAGCAATGTAAAAGCTTTTTACATTAACAGGTTAGACTATATCAGGCATAATTTATATTTTTCGATTTGTAATTATAATCTTCTAGATTTAATTAACAAGTCTAAAACGCAAACATCTTATAGTAGATTTGAAACTGTTATTATAAGTTTATAGTCAATCCAAATCTCACTGAAATTATTAAAATGCAAATATAAAAACAAGGGTATTTTTAATTGTGCCACATATTAAGTAAATAAGAAAAGTAATAATACATTTACATATTACTATAACCAATTTTTGTATTGAATTTTTATAAAAACGTTAAAAAAGATTGTCACCGCCATTCTTTTCGCCGGAGACTGTATGCCTGCAATCTGTCATATCTCTGTCTGAGAAACAGTTATTTAAATGTCCATTTGCTTTTGTATTTGTAGGGTCCGTATTATTCATTTCACCGACAATTACATCATTGGAGGTGAATGTGGCTGTCAACCACGATGAACAAAGCAGTCATAAATATAGTTTAAGGGATGTCAGTGAAAAGATACTGTTATGGTCTTCTTCAGAAGCTCACGAGAAAAGTATAAACAAGGGTACTAGCGCATGAATATTAATTGTACAAAAGAATGGAATGAAGGCATAAACAAAAATCCTTGTGCAACATTAATACCATTATTTAAAGCTCTTAGGGTATAGAGTATGAAGGAAGATATGTTAATATTTCACTAATTTGGGATTGTTTGTGTGGACATTGTTGCTCGAGAATGATTTCACTTTGCCGTATAATAACTTTCCTATAATATGGTGAAGTTCGCTAAGACTGCTGCCAACAACGAATATTTATAATAAAAACAATCACTATGATATTTGTAAAATACAGTAAATATATAGTGATCTACGAAGAGACATAATTTGAATGCACACGTTTGATTTGACTGAGCTATCGGACATCAGCGTTGTTAATCTTCTTACCCATTACTCTAAATCAACAGTAGTTAATAAATATCAACCATAAATACAAGTCGAAAATGTTAAAAATGCTACATGTATAATGACCTCCTCTTGTCAATATATCGTCCATCTTGTCTTTTATACCTGAAACTCAATTGACATCTCACAACTATTTCTCGCTTTAGGCAAATTTCCGGTAGGTAAGAGCTTACTAGAGTATTTACTCTCCTTCTCGAGACGAGATAAGGGTTTTACATCATTATGATAGATGGTATTCCACATATTGTCGTTAGAATTATCATATAGTGCCTTGGAAATCAACAAGGAGAGTTTGCCTGTATTTGGACGCTTGTCAGGATCAGCATCACAGCACATTTCAACAATTTTTCTATATGCCTTTGGTGCTGAATCAGGCATCTGTGGTCGTAGTCCACTCATAATATCGCACACCAAATCTCTATCGAACTCTCTGTCTCTAAAAGGTGGCTCACCAGTGGCTACCAAATACATGATAATACCAAAAGAATATATGTCTGATTTCTGAGTAAATTTGCAAGTATGGAAGACTTCCGGTGCAACAAAGGGTAAAAGGCCTCGAATCGTTGGATTTGACTGGGACGAATTCACTGATCGTGAGAGACCAAGATCGCATATATATGATTTACTTATATGAAAATCTTCAGACACGTTGCCATCATGCAAAACTATATTTCCGCCATGAAGATCGCAATGCACAATTCCTGCATCATGAATATTGCTCAGATAATCTACAATATCCTCCAAACACTGTAATTTCATCTTCCATGTCAGCTTGTTAATATTTTGGTCCAAATAAGACAACAGACTACCCTTGTTGGCATATTGCATAACCATAATGTACTTTTTTGTTTCTGGATCTTGTGTGACTCCATAAATTTTAAGGAAAGGAAGATGCAAACATTGGGCATGATTTCTGAACTATTAATAATATTAAAGGAAATAATTACAGTCAGATTAAATACAATTTTAGTTAATAGTGGCAAACATTGCTTACCTCGGAAATAAATAATTCCGGCGATTCATCAAGATTCTTAAGACGTTTGAGTACAACAGTTTTTGGCACGTGCTTTTCTGACTTGCCTTTATACTTGGCAGTATAGACTGTTCCATAACCACCAGATCCAATCTCTTTAAGTCCACAAAAATCGTTATACCATATATACACTACATGTTCGTTACGTTGTATAAATCTGTCCAATGGCGCATGTATGTCGTAATAGAACACTAAATAATGTTTTCGAGTAGATGGCTCTTGCGTGATACCAATAATCCAAATATTGTCTCGTGTTAATATCTCTGGGTATTCTTTAACTAACTATTTGATAAACAATACAATCAATCGTCGTCTTAAGCAACAATACACACTTAAAATTAATACTTATTTGCATTTTACACGTGAAATAATTTACCTGATGAAAATCAAATGGCTGTTCATCAAATATTTTTTTGAGCGTCACGCGTGTCAATTCATTCGTTGTCGGTTCTAACCAATCTGCTACAAGTGTGCATCCGTTGCGCAATAATGCCATCTGCTGTACATTTGTCAATAAGGAATACTCTATCCATTGTATATAGGCATCATATTTTTTTTCATATTCTTCCATGATTCCATAATAAATGAATCCAGAGACTTGTTGCCCATAGTCCAACCAAGAGGTCTTGGTGCTTTACATGCAAAACAGAATGCCTTTATCTTGGATTCTAATGCTGTTGTACATGCAAGACATAATCCCGTTTCATGTCGCTCCTTTATTAGATAATACGTCTGTTCGCTTGCATATGTAAATCCAATGGTAATCCAAGCATCCATGGTAAGCATATCTGGATTCTTATCGCATAACTGGTAGAAATTATACCAAGTCAATATTTATCTAAACAATCAATAAACATAATTTATTTGTAATTAAATAGTTACCTTGTCATAATATAAACCATCCGTCTCATTCGTTATTTCAAGTGGAATCAATGTAATTCGAGCATCATAAGCAGCAATAGGTAGACCATATAACCTTGCATTATCTCCCTTATCACGAATACAATCAAAAGGAATCCATTCCAAATAGGCATCATTTGGTGAGTTTGTTTGTAATTGAGATTTCTTAATAAACTCATCGAGTTGCTTATTGTTGCTAGTCCATCCACTGGATAATTGTTTATATCCGCACACACACCACACGGGACTACATCGGAGTATTCCGCATACGGAGCAGAATCCATATCGAGAATAATAATAGAAAAAGTGTTTGTGAGCAATCATGTAGTAATTATCGTCATACTTGGTAAATCCATATATCAGTTTGTTGCGACATTCAAGCCATCTTTTGTATCTTCTGAACTGGTTAACATCATTACTGTAGTTGTGTGTTGGAAGTGAGTATATTCTAGCAAACTCACACACATGTGTAGATGTACATTCTTCGCTACTTCCAAGTGATAGCAACATTGTCATCGTTTTATTACGCCTCGTTTGCTTGCGAATAGCGTAGTAGACAGCATCGACTTGACTTGACTTTATGCCAGTAATTTGCGAGCAAGGAATCCATTCAAGTCTATGTTTACTTTCTAAGGAGGATTGAATCAAGCTATCAATTGCTGAATTTTGATTATCCTTAACAATTTCTGGAAATAACGACATACTTTAAATAAAATTTTCAAGTACCATCTCGGGGGAGAGAACGTTATATAGTACTGTGCAAAGTAATGAGAATTTTATTTGTGACGCCAATGTTACTCCAATTAAAAAACGGTTTTACAGTAAATTTACGCTTTTCAACCTTAAAGAAGTGGTACAAGACAAGTATAAGCCAATAATGTACGAAAGCAAAGAGTTCTTTCCGATCCCGATTATCTACTATGGTTCAGCCAAGAGCTTGCCACAGGGCTCAATGAATCCAGCCCTGGCATGAAGTACATCCAGAGAGCTTTCTCGACTACGTTGGAAGGTTAATACAGTGAAAACTTTCGTCTGGTCCCGAGTCTGGACATACCTGTTATTGCATACATCATTTAAATGTCGACTTTTATAAATGCATTATATCACGTGATATACTATACAATTTTTATAATAATGCATATTACATATGTGCGATCAATTTTCATTGTCATAATAATAATACACAGTAAACCTCGGTCCCAATTCATTAATGTCAATAATAAACCTACTTCGATTATCCGAATTTTTATAATAAAATCACTAATCCGTAATCCGAATCTAGTTGTGAGGAATGGCATATTAAATATCACCCCTTTAATCCGAAGATTAAAAATCTCATCAGTTGATAAGCAGGTAACGTTTGCAATTCGATTTTATTGAACCAACAAACGTGAAAAACTCTTATTGTGCGTACAGAGAATCGCAATAAAATAAAAAACCCAAGCATCGCCGAGAAGACGTCGGTGCAGCAATTTTTCGGATTGGTGGGTTGCTCTATAAGCCGAAATATATAGTGCGGAATTCAAAAAAGGTTCGTTCTAACAGTGTTTTCGGCTTAACGGGGTTCAGTTTAACGGGTTAACCTTGTATATTAGATAAAAAGGATAAATTAAAAAGACAAGAAAACATTACAACAGAATTAGTAGCCAAATTACAAAGAAATAAAGGTTAAATTTTTACCTTTTTTAAGAACTTGGAAAAAACCTATTTGACACAAAGGAGTTAAGAAAGTTGTATTTTTACTCTTGACCATGAAGCAAGAATGTGAGAAGATGGCTTTAGTAAAAGAAATAGCGAATCAAGCAAAAATAATGCTCTTTTATAAAAAAAGGCTGTTGAGTTGGAGAAACTAATCGAGGTTTAGAAGAAGAGTTTGAGTATGAAAAAAAATGCTGATTGTCATTTAGATGCTATCAATACTTGCAGAATTGATATTTTACCATCAATTATTCCTTTAATAAAGAATTGCCAAAGCAATCAAAATTTTATTGGAAAGGCAAGCGACAGCTGAAGAAAAAGATAAAGAGATTGAAAAATTAGGAAACGGGTTAATGACAGAAAGAGATTTATAAGAGCAAGACAAATTAATTAAGTTGGTTAACCTAAAACACCAAGCAGATTTACCACTTAGTTGCTCAGATAGAGGTTAGAAACGTAAGAGTATGTGAGAATTGTTTCATACACTATTACATTTAGAAGAGCGAAATAAAAATTTAGCTTGTTGTTTTGCTTTAACAATCTGTTTTGTTCAACCACATTAGCCATAGCTCATGCTCATGCGAAATGTTCATTTTGTCTTATACTGTCATTATTTATACGTTTTCCCAAAATAAAAGCATAAGAACGCTGTTTAGGTACGCGATTTGGTGTACTTCTCATATTTGATTCAAACGACTTTATATATACGGAATAATTGCGCAATTTTGATTAATGAGCACGTCGTGATACTACGTATTAATCCAACTGTTAATACACTAATTGCTTATATCAATATGGGCTTTGTTTTATTTCTATAGTCAATTACTACAATTTGCGAAAACATTGTTTTATTGCAATTGCATCTAACGTATTTGCTTGATTTATTGACCATTAAGTTTATATTAATATGAACACCTTGATATATTAATCAGATAAAAATGACATGATTTGACAAAAATGGTGATGATAACATTTAATTTAAACGCCAGCTACGCATTACATTATGTATCAGTATATCACAGAACTAACAAGAGCTTTATAACATAAACTGAAAGATGAGGAGACAAAGAGTGAATCAAGACAACGACAAATTTATTATGGAGAAAGCATTCTGGAAAAGGAGAGAAGACTCTATAGTTCAAATGACAAGCTGTATGCTTTTGCTTTGTATTTGGTTCATGATTTTTTGTGATTTTTATTGACTCATTCGCAGTCTTTAGGACCGTACAATAACCAGATTGAACGCTGCTGCTGAGAAAGAAAGTAGAATACAGATTTTCCGCATAGGTAATAAGCTAACGCAATGTTCGATCCTGAAATTTACTAGTAAAACATAGCATTCTGTAGCCTGTATTATACTATGTAAGTCGCAATGATCTAGCATTGTTATAAAGCCACTTGACCCTGTGGTTTTCGGGGGAGAATTAAAATATATAATCGATACATCGATGAAGTGTTAGTGTGTGTATACGAAAACATAAATATGCATGTTTTCGCATACACTAACACTTCATCGAACTACAGTTTTGTATCGATAATAATTTTAAAAGTACAAGCAATCAGCTTCGTAACGATACTAGATGATTGCTCCTTACATAGCATATACAGACTACAGAGATTTTCGTTTTTCATACGCCGAGTCGATACTTTTTGCTATAGAACCACGAAAGTCCAATTCCCACGCAAAAGTTAGTGCGACAAATGTCTTGCATCATTGTTGGTATTTATATGTGTAATATGAAAAAGTCACATTCGATTAAAAGTCCTGTGACATATTAGTATTAGCTTATCCAATTATGTTCAGTTCGATTGTCCAATTAGAACGAACAAGCGGATAAATAATAAAAATAACGTTGCCTCGATACTCGGTGTAATATTAAAATCCTGAAACAAATGAAAACATAATTAATGCCCGTGTATCTTGGGGGATATAACCGAGTGTTGCTGGTATTGGTTATAATTGTGGTTAAAATGTGCATTCTTAATAGGAATAATATTAAAAAGTGTAGCAGCCAATGCTAATTCTAATTCTACCATGCACTATCGTTAAAAAAGAAACGACTACCTGTTTAAAAAAGTGTAGACTGAGCACAGCTTCTTGGTTAATCGATTTCTGACTCATTTCCAATATATCCTCTGTGTTATCTGGTGACTCGGTCTCATTTTATATGCGCACAGCATACAAATTTATGTAAGTTGGTTGGTACCAGATTTACTATTACCAAAGAACAAGCCTATTTATTGCTCTTGATCGGCATTATTGCCGAAAAAAGTAAAGCAATCGCTCGGCCACGCAAAGGTCACATTTACTTCCACACACGCCTTGTCCCAATGATATCAGTTTTATTAATATCAAAACCTAACCCGTATTGGCAAATCTAAAATAAAAGATAGAAATATGAGATAATCGAACGTTTTTCCTTCTTATGTATTCCATGACCGCAGAGATAAAAGACAATAGAATCAGCCTGACACTAAAGTTTCGGGTTACATGAGACGCCGAGGCGACAAAAGACTGCTAGAAAGAGGCGGCGGTTAAGATGAATAGTCAACGAGGGCATTTTTGGTGCTCAGAAAGCAAAAATACGTGTGCGTATATGCGTGTGGGTGTATCTGTATGTGCATCCAGGGTGCACAAGTTGATACGGTCATTAATCTTTTCGATGTTGTTACCGTACCTTGCCTGCTTTTACTTTCTTCCACTCGATAATTTTTATGGGCTGTATGTTACACGGGGGTAATTTTTGATGTGGGAAATGTAATGTTCCCCTTTGTGGCGTTTACATTACCCATATATGGATAGCGACCTATCAGCAGGATCTTTTTGCTTTAGTCGTTTTTGTCTTCATATAAATTTAGTCTTTATCTATGCTTCGGATCCTCCCCTTTTGGGATACGCATATATTGGGTAAAGTTGAAAATATCATAATATTTAATATAACACAATCAATCACAATCAATCACAATCGAAGCAGCAAACAAGCTTGTTTTATCTGTGATAATTCGTTCAACTTTCTTTCTGCTTTTATGAAACCCTCTTCTCGAATTCCTCTCTTGGCTGTTCTATATATATACACCGTAAAAATAGATTAAGATTCGCAGGACAATGACCTAATTCGTACATGTGTATTTCCATTACATGCATGCAGCGAGATGTTAGATCCATTACCAAATATATCACAGCCCTTCTCGTCCAATGAAATAAATAGATAAAAATAAGTCAAATAAATAAAATAATGAAATGACAGGATCAACCCACAATTATTATTGTATTTTTATCGTCATCAGGCATATTTAACCCTGTTTAGACACTACCATGTAACAAACCTTGCTTTTTTTTTGATCGAAGTGATAATCCCCCTCATCTCACCTCGCCTCCTCATCATTTAGAAATACGGAGAAAACACAGGAGAAACTCGTAAGATTCGGTCAACCCATTGTACATTTCCACAAAGTAACACAAATTACACTATTAATTTCGTATGAAAACCAAAGGTAACTCACCCTCTTGGCCTGCTTCATTCTTTCTCTTTTGTATAATTGGGCTAATATCACTTTCCCCTCCCCATTCCCTCCCCTCCCCAATTTTCCCCTTTCCCCTCAATAAAACATAATACAAGATAGAGCATTAAAAGTATATATAATAACTGTAAAAGTGATATAGGTTGTACCAACTGGACAACCAACTCAAAATAAATTAATAATGCCGAGGAAGACCAAAGGAGGGTCGTCGGCTGACGAAAAGGCTGACCTCACCACCATACAAAACCCAACTCAAGATTCCATAGCCTCAGTACTAAAAGAACGTTTCCAACAAGTTATCATATACACTCGCATCAACTCTTCTGCCCTTGTGGCCGTAAATCCATACAAAGACCTACCCATCTTCTCTGACGCTACTGTGCAAGAGTATGTTGCTGACTATAAAGACACTTCTGGACAACGATCTCAACTACCTCCTCACGCCTTCCAGATTGCGTCACAGGCCTATTTGCATATGCGAAGAACTGGACAAGACCAGTCCATCATCCTAAGGCAGGTTTCAAATTTCTATACTTTGCTTACAGAGCATGTAATAATAATAATAATAGTATCGAATATATGTAAACGTATATCTTTACATACCTTTGGTCATAACTTACAAACATTGTTATTTTGTACTCTGTGAAATTCTATACATTTTGCCCGCTTTTTCTCGTTCACATTCTTGTCATCATTATTTCTTCGTACCTTTCATGTCAATTGCCATGATTAACTGTTTGTCTCGTGGTTTTGCAATCGCTATTACTCATACTCTTACCATCCCCAACACATTTTAATTCTCAATGTTTACAGCGGTGAAACCGGAAGTGGTAAATCGGAAACACGAAAACTAGCTGTCAAATTATTAGCGGGTATAAGTTCACATCAAAAGAAGGAATCACGCGTACTATCCCAAATACCCAATTCCGAATTTATTCTCGAATCATTTGGCAATGCAAAAACACTAAAAAACGCAAATGCGTCTCGATTTGGAAAATACACTGAACTACAATTCAACGAGAGAGGGCGTTTAATTGGAGCAAAAACATTAGACTATTTGCTGGAAAAGAACAGAGTTACAAAAGTTGCGGCGAACGAGAAAAACTTCCATGTATTTTATTACTTAATAGCAGGAGCATCAAATGATGAAAAGACTCATTTGCGACTAGCCGATCCCTCGCAGTATCGTTACCTCAACGTCAGCAAGATGAGAGGAACAAATGCCAATGATGCCGGAAAATTCGGCGAGTTGAAGCAAGCATTAAAAGCGTTAGGATTTCACAGAAAACATGTCGCACAGACTTTTCAATTATTAGCCGCAATTCTACATCTCGGTAATATACAATTCGTAGACGATCCTACTAAACAACAGGATGCTGCAAGTGTAAAGAATTTCGATCTTTTAGACCTGGTGGCTGATTTCTTGGGCGTTCAAAGCCGGTCGTTGGAAACCGTTCTGACTTACAAAACAAAACTCATAAAAAAAGAAATGTGCACAATCTTCCTTGATGCCGAATCTGCTGCTGCCCAAAGGGACGACCTGGCAAAAGTATTGTATTCGCTTTTATTTAGCTGGATAGTCGAATATATTAACACTAAACTATGTCATGACGACTTTGCCAGTTTTATTGGCATACTAGACCTTCTTGGCTTCCAAAACCAGACTACAAACTCGCTGGATCAATTTTGCGTAAACTTTGCAAATGAGAAAATGCATAATTTTGTTCTGCACCAAATATTCGAAGCCAACACCGAAGAATATCAATCGGAAGGCATTAACATTCCAAACGTACCCTTTTTCGATAATTCCGAATGTTTGCGCATGCTAGTCAAACCATCAACCGGAATAATTGCAATAATGGATGACCAAGCGAATAAATCAACCCGCAAGACTGACCACACAATGCTCGATGCCTTCAACAAAAAGTATTCAGACCACAGCTCGTATACACCATCAGGCAAATCGCTAAACGCCCTTCCAACGTTCAGCATTCGACACTTTTGCGGACAGGTACAATACGACGCAACTGGTTTCCTGGAAAAGAACATCGATAACGTGAGCGGTGATTTTGTAGCCTTGTTCCGTGGTGGAGGCGATACGGTGTCATCGTACAACACGTTCATCCAAGATTTGTTCACCGACGAAGCCGTTACCACAGAGTCTCATCCTCGTAGCGATAATACTATCGTTGCAGCTCATCAGTCGGTTAAACCGATGCGTGCTCCGTCCATGCGTCGTAAGAAGGATCAAAAAACTGCTCCCGAGGAGGATTCATCGTCGCAACCCAAAGCTACATGTGTTGCCACTCAAGTTCGTTCGGCCCTTGATGAATTGTGTGAAACGCTAGAAGCGACTACCCCTTGGTTCGTGTTTTGTATACGCTCGAATGATTCTCAGTTGCCTAATCACTTTGATCAGAAGGTTGTTAAAGCCCAAGTAAAGTCATTCGGGATACCAGAAATAGTCAGCAAGTTAGCTACAGAATATACTATCACATATACACACGGAGAATATTTGAAGAGGTATTCTGGTATCCTGGATTCAATGAATATTGAACAATCGAGAGATGTCAAAGCAAAGATTGAAGCGGCCGCGACTATTTTCGGATGGAGCGCTTCTGAGCTGGCTGTTGGCAAGACAAAGGTGAGCGTCTAAACAGAGTTTTCCGCATAAACTGTCAGCACGTTGTTAAATTTTGCACTGCATTTTCTGTTTATAGGTCTTCTTGAGCGAAAAGGCCTGGCGTGATTTAGAAGATAATCTCCGCAGCATGGACAGCGAAGAGAAACGCCGCAAAAAAGAGGCCAAAGCAGCCCCCCCGCCCGTAGATTACAACCGTGCCGACGATGCGATTTCTCAACGCTCCTTCCCTTCCAGTCAAGCTCTCTATGCCAATAGACCTCGTGGATATGATAACCAATCATACATTTCTGGCGACGATGTTCGGTCGTACATGTCTGAAGATGATTATTACCCAGAAGACTATTCTGCATACGACGATACTACCTCAGAGGTTTACGCGCCATCGCATAATATGTTTAGAGAACTAGAAACAAAGAAAATGCTAGACGATGAAAAGGATATCGAAGAGGAGATTGAAGAGCCAAAGACGACAGCTGCAAGGAGAAAGTGGGTGGTTATCACATGGTTGCTCACCTGGTGGGTGCCCCCCTGTTTCCTTAATTGGTGTGGCGGAATGAAACGAAAGGACATTCAGATGGCGTGGAGAGAGAAGGTTGCGTTATGTTTTTTCATATTTCTCTTCTCTGCCATTGTCATTTTTATGATTGCTGTATTGGGTAGACTCATCTGTCCGACAGAGTTTGTATTCAATGATTCAGAGTTGTCTGGAGATAACGCACTTGCCGAGATACGTGGTGAAGTATTTAAATTGAACGAGTTTGCCCCGAGGCATTACCCGACAGGTTTGGTAGATGTGAAAGCGATAATGGCATATGGAGGAAAGGATGCTACCAATTTATTCCCGGTTCAAGTTAGCGCTCTATGTGGAGGGTATACTGCCGACGGTGTGAGCGAGGCTGTGACTTTCGACGCTTCAAATTCTACCGCACTTGACCAAAATTCAGTCTATCATGATTTCCGGTATTCGACTACTGATTACCGAAAAGATTGGTATTACGAAAAGATGATTGAATTGAGAGCTAATTATTTGGCTGGACAAAGGGCATACTCGAGCAAGCTAGTCAAGTCACTATCTTTCAAGAAACAAATAGCAATTCTGAACGACAAAGTCTTTGACCTTACATCGTACGCACAGGGAGGTCGTCGCCTAGTGGGACCCAACAATCAGGACCTAACGGGCTCTAGCACAGACTTTATTCATCCATTGATTGTATCACTGTTTCAGACAGATGCCGGTACCGATATTACAAAGAAATTCAATAACCTTGGCCTCGACCCCGACGTACAAACAAGACAGGAGATATGTTTGCGTAACTTATTCTACAAGGGTGTAGTCGATCATCGTTCCTCACCTCAATGTTTATTCTCGAGATACATTCTTCTTGTATTCACTGGATTCTTGGTAGCAGTTATCATCTTTAAATTTTTGGCTGCTTTGCAACTCGGAGCTAAGCGTGAACCAGAAGAACATGACAAATTTGTCATCTGTCAGATTCCATGCTATACTGAAGGAGAGGATTCACTGAGAAAGACCCTGGATTCATTGGCTGTCTTGCGATATGACGACAAGAGAAAGCTTTTGTTTATTATTTGCGATGGTATGATTGTCGGTAGCGGTAACGATCGTCCAACTCCGGCTATTGTGTTGGAAATTCTCGGCGTTGACCCTAATCTCGATCCCGAACCATTGAGTTTCTTGTCTCTTGGCGATGGTACTAAGCAGCATAATATGGGCAAAGTATATTCTGGATTGTACGAATGCAACGGGCATGTAGTTCCATATCTGGTGGTTGTCAAAGTTGGAAAACCTGGTGAGCGCGCTCGTCCCGGTAATCGTGGTAAACGTGATTCTCAGATGGTTTTGATGCGATTCCTCAACAAAGTCCACTTCAACGCGGAAATGACACCCCTCGAATTAGAGATTTATCATCAAATCAAGAACGTTATTGGAGTCAACCCCAGTTTCTACGAATATATTTTAATGGTGGACGCTGATACCGAAGTCTTACCCGACTCGTTGAACCGTCTTGTCTCGGCTTTCATGCATGATACACGAGTCATGGGATTGTGCGGTGAGACGACCTTGGCTAACGAGAAGGACACTTGGGTTACTATGATTCAAGTGTACGAATATTATATTTCTCATCACTTGGCAAAGGCGTTCGAATCTCTCTTTGGATCAGTAACCTGTTTGCCAGGATGTTTTTGTATGTATCGTGTACGCACGCCCGACACTCACAAGCCATTGTTGATCAGCAACGGAGTAATAGATGACTATGCCGAGAATCGTGTTGATACTCTTCACAAGAAGAATTTACTTCATCTTGGTGAAGACCGTTACCTAACTACTCTGATGATGAAGCATTTCCCCCATAACAAGATGACTTTTGTGCCTGATGCCCAGTGTAAGACGAGCGCTCCCGATACATGGACCGTGTTGATATCTCAGCGTCGTCGATGGATTAACTCCACTGTGCATAATCTTATGGAATTGGTCTTTTTGCCTCAGCTCTGTGGTTTTTGCTGTTTCTCTATGCGTTTCGTGGTCTTGCTTGACTTATTCGGTACCATTGTTATGCCTGCTACGGTGGCTTATCTTGCATATCTAATATACTGCATTATTGTCGATCCGACAACTATTCCAATTACCTCACTTGCATTACTGGGTGCAGCGTACGGTTTGCAGGCTATTATATTCATCTTGAGACGCAAATGGGAACACGTTGGATGGATGATTGTATATATTCTGGCTATTCCGGTGTTTGCTTTTTATCTACCAATATACGCCTTTTGGCACTTTGATGACTTTTCATGGGGTAACACACGTATGGTAGTTGGCGAGAGAGGTAAGAAGAAATTAGTAGCAGACGAGGGCAAGTTTGATCCAAAAAGCATACCAAAAAAGAAGTGGTCAGACTATGAACAAGAACTGTGGGAAGTCAATTCAGAAGAGTCAGTACAGACAAGAGTGTCAGATAAATCATACCGAAGTCATACCTCAAAGAAAGCTGGTTCAGTTGCTGGTTCGAAATTTGGATCTGCATATGGAGACTTCCATGAAGAATATGGTCAGCGTGCTAGGTCTCGATCACCAGCTCCGCGTTATACAGGGGATGATCGTCGCACTTCACGTGCGTTATCAAACGTTGCATCTCAGCATCCAGGCGACTACACGTCACAACGGGGCTCGCAATACTTGTCGAGTCGAGCTGGAGAGTATGAATATTTTGGCGGCAACTCTAGACCCGTAAGTACGGCAGAGGGTGGTCACTATGCTAGAGATATTGTTCCTGCTGAACCAAGCGATGATGAGATCCTTCAAGAGATAAGAAGTATCCTCTCAGCAGCAAATCTCATGACTGTAACCAAGAAACAAGTACGCGATGAGCTCTCTATGCGGTTTGGATTTGATATGAATTCAAAGAAAGAGTACATTAATAACTGTATAGAATTGTTTTTACAAGGAAAATTGTAGAAGATAGTCTATCCATATTTAGTGAAGTAATGTGATAACGGTTTTCTGTCTAGATCTTCCCTTTTTTTTTGGGATTGTAAAACAGGAGATGATTATTTTTCTTCACTTGCAGCAATATCCGACTTTGGACTATGTATTTGTAATTTAGCGGAAGAGTTTCCTTTCATTGTAGGATTATTTTTGAACGAAATTTTCTTTTACACATTTTACTACATTTTTTTTGTTACGATTGTTAATCAACTCACAAAGTTAATAGAATTATAAATTTCAGCACTAATCAATGTAAATGATGATGTGATATTGGAATGCCAAGTTGAAATCGCCCTTGTGGAAAAAGGAGGGGAGGGTTCTGCCGCTGGTCGTTAGAGTGTAGGACTGAGGGCAAGAATGCGAAGCATGCTCGCATCTTTCCATACAGTTTTCGCGTCAAGCACTAAAATTCACAGCCTCTTGAAATCTAGTAGACGGATGTTTCGTGCTTGTTCAGAACAAGTTAAACCAGACCTCACGCAAAAGACATGGATGAAAGCCATAAATAGACTCGTGAGTACTTTTTAACAATTCCCCACATACGCTAATACTGGTAAATTTTATTTTCGTTGCGTCGCACAATGCGAGGTCTGAGAAAGTGGATCGTCACGTACTACGATCGTTTACCTGTGAAAAAGATAGGGATACGGAGATTATTAGTTCAACATCCAATTTGCAGGTTATCCATATCTGGTAAATATTCATTTACAACGTTACACCAAGATTATATGTTACAACCCCCTCTTTGTGTCAACTATTTAAAGGTCGCGACAATATAAACTTGGTGGGAATCCCTTCAACGAGTTACACTGCATAGTGTATATTTATAGCAGTCTTAATATTTGTATGGGCACCTTGCCCTGCCGCGGACCAGTCATATGTACGTGTCGTGTGTGCATGTGAGCGGCAGTGTCAAGCTACAATAATCAGCTTTACTTCATGCCATAAAATGTTTGTCTACCAATTTTCTTTTGTGATAATAATTTCTCTCTAAATGGCCGTTTTCGTTATAAGTGATTGGGTAATGCGCTTGACGTTTCTACCGGCCGGAACTTGGTAATTTGACCAACTGTCATTTTGGTTTTCCATCGCGGCACTGTTTTTTACGTCACCATGAACACGCGGTTGTTGCTAGATGGTTTCGAAGTAAATGCGGCCAATTCCTAATACGTTTTCTGCGATTCCAATACTGACAAGTTCCCCTGTTAATTTTAAGACATCGGCCGGTACTTATTTCACCACCATCTATATGAAAAAACAATAATCTTGTTGGGGATCATTTTTAGCAATCCTATATATTTTATAACTTTCACTGGCGACACTGGTAGCATTATTGGAAAATCGAATGGTAAATTTTAAATTGACCAAATGTTTTGGGTTTGAGTATTTCTTCCATACGATATAATTTAAAAATGAAAAACTTGGATGTCTGATTTCTCGTATATTTTTCAAATTGCTCATAATTTAAGAAACAAAAATGCATTCATATACAGTAGATGTATCGATATTAATATGGTCAAGCAGCAGCAGTTATTACTTATCGTTTATTAAGCTTCTAATACTGTATATTGTCTATCAATCTGTACATTAAAATAATATTATTAGTTTTATTTTATTGTTTCTAAATATACCTCTATCGAGCTTTTGATATAATTAACTTTTAATCTCAACCACTTCCTTGATCTCCTCATTTCGGGTACCAATACGGCCGATTTGTTAGCGATCCATTAAATACCTGCGTCCCACCTTCAATACTTGGATCCGTGGCATCCACAAACTCGTAAACCATCTTCCCACTCTTGTCGCTTATTCTCACATGTAGGAAGCCGACTGTTCCCTTAGCACTTACCCAATCGTCACCTTCGCAGGCTTTACTGGTTCTACTACCTGCCCCAGAAATAAATTGAGCAAAACGAGACCACCTTGTTGGTGCTAAGAATTCTAGCACATGGTTGTGTCCAGCGAAATAAGCTGTTACTCGGTGTCGATCTAGAATAGGAATTAATTCTTTCATCCTATAACGCTGAGCACAGTCACCGATCAATGGGTGATGACCTTATATTAAAACCAAAAGTATAAATTAAGTTATGCTATTGGCGAACGTCAAACTAGTACATCATATATGCGAGAATGTTACCTATGACGAAGATCCACTTGGCATCCTGGTTCTCAACAAGTCTATCCTCGATCCATTTTAGCTTCTCTTCGACCGCTCCATCTCTGTCCCAGCCCATTATCTCAAAGTTACCGAACATTCCTTTTGCTTTTTGTGTTGCCTCATCGTAGAAAAATATATTGGTATCAATATGGATCCAGGCAACCGTCGAGTTCTTTGGTCCGAAGCTCGTTCTTCGCACGTAGAATAACGCCGGTAAATAGAATCTGTTGTTTTTGTTGAGACTGTAATCAATTTGGGCGGACACATTGTTGTACCTGTGTAGTGTGGGTAAAGCAAGTGTATGGATTGGCGTCGTCGTTATTCTAGTCACGATGAGGGTTTAAAAGAATGGCACAAGATATCCACTGCTCTTGTGAATAAAAAGGCTCATAGATGGTTAAATAAAAAATCTTTACCAGTCATGATTTCCGGCGACAGTGTACCAATTTATTGACGATAGCTTTGCACCATTGTAGACATCTAACCATATAGTATTCCATTTTTCATCATCAACCGTTTGCACACCTTGATAGTCATATTTACCTCCTTTATAAAAGTTATCTGTAGTCAAACGAAATTTGCACAATCAGTTTTAGAAAGTAAGTAATTGTCCCCTTTTCCCTTCACCCGTCAATCTGATGTATGCTTGTGAGTTTCAACGAACCTCCGACATTCACAACAAACTTGCTATCGTGTTCGTCAGCGCAAATCTCCATGGCATCAGCGACTGCTTTCTGCAAAAACTTGTGAGTAGCAGGATCTTGTCCGTTCATGCCCCAATCTCCGAATACTAGAAAGTCCAAGTCTTCATCGGTGAAGGCCTCCTTATGCACCGTGGAGGTTGATTGCCAATCACTTATGTCACAAACACACAGACATACGAGTGTTAATAGTATTATTAGAAGGTATAGGTCAGGTTTCGCAGGCCGTAACATACTCTCTGGTAAATGTTCGTGATAGTGTGTGGTCGAACTTGTCCCTCACATGATGTGTGGGCTAATCAAGAAAATTTTCTGGTAACGATTATCACGCGTTACTATTTATGTCAAACATCAGATGGAAAAGGATTGGCAAATACGAGAACCTGCTGTTATTAATAGATATCATAAATCTCAAAGATAGCATGAAGTGACTTATCAGAGGCGTTTTAAAGACAATAAACTAATAATAGGGCCACATTAATATTAATACCCATATATATCGATTTTCTTAATGAGTGACTGTCAGCTAGCATTAGTCCAGTCCTTAATCGAAATACGCACGTATTTTCTGTCGTTATAACCATTTAGTATACAAATTGCAGTTATGATAGCATTGGAAAATAATTGCAATTACTTTAGCCAAGAGCCTGATATATAGAAAGTCCCATTAGATAACAATTGTATAATATTCGAACCAACAACGCGTTCTTTGTTTGCTTTCGTAATTTAGCACAGGTAAGAGCAATGGCAACCTGTCAGTACAATGGCATTATTAATCCAATGTATCTCAGCTTTATAAGACAACACATATTCCCATATCCACTTTGTATGAAAACGTTCAGTATTACTGTGTTGATTGGAAAGTTTTGGCCCTTAGGCCAAAATTGACGTATCGAGTTTGCATGTGTATGGTACATATGTATGACCGACAGCATTGTTGAAAATTAACAATTTACGTTTTGGCGGGAGATGTAATGCAGAACAAGAAGTCACGCTCCTGGTAGTCCATGTTGGACCATGCCTAATTTTTCTAAACGTGCCATGTCAAGAGGAGATAAAAATTGGGATTTTCATCATCCAAGTAGGCTTCTGCTCAAAATTTACAATCACAAGAAACACCTTGGTATCTCTTTTCAATATACTGGGGTCGTGTCCCAGACCCTTGGAGAAGCTTGAGTGATTGGGACCTTTATTATATCGAAAAATTTCCCGGATGTAAAAAGGAAGAAGCACATCGGTCCCGAGTCTTGAGCTTAATAATCTTCTTAGGAACGTACCAAGTGGAGGTCTAAAACAAACGCGTCGAAAAAAGCTTTAAAGGTTAGTGCCTTTTCATTATGTTTATTCATAGAAACATATCACCGTGCCCTGCAGTCGTGTTCTGAGCGATTCGCTGCACAAGGCAACTTGTGTTGTTGCCTGAACATACTGTAGTCTGGGCTGCAAGCCCCCATTACAGCATGTGTGGCTAATGACAATTATGTAACAGATGGTTGAAAATAATTTTGGTTTAACATTTCTTAATAAAGATGAGCGAATAATTAACATTACTTATATGTTTAACGTTATCTGGTGTTTTATGTTTTTTTTTTTTTATTCTATCACTAGCGCCACTGAATATTATTTAAACCAAATCACTCGGCAACTACTAAATTAAGGATAACAGTGCGGGTTAATATTGACTTTTATGTGATGCAATAATAGCTCACAAGATTTTTTATTTTCTATAATGGTAACTTTCCGTTACGAACGACTTATTTGCACAGAATGTCAACCAATTAACCCGTCATTTAACATCATGATAGTGGCCATTCTTTGTTCGATATAATTTTAATCACATGACCATTTATACTAATACCGCAATTGAATAAATATTTTAGAAGGCTAGATAGAATTGTGGCCTTTTGAGAAATATAGATAATTCGACCGCTTTACGTACTTCAGATGACACAAATTTATTATAGAGGTGCGTTTCCATATAATATGGCCTGATATACTTTCTATGCTAGTATTCGAATGGTATAATAATCTCGATATAATGAAGTCAACGGGATGGGGATTTTTCTTCACTATATCAAAAATTTTCAAATACTGTATATATGTCAGCTTGAAATTTATGTCAATTTGGAATAATAAGTAAATCAGATAAAAGGTATTTATTAAGCAATGTCAATTATGTATATATACTAATGTTAATGGTTATTGTACTAATCAAATAAATAATACAAATAGTATCGTGTTCTTACTAACGAGTTTATTATAAGAGTTTTAAGAAATAATTTAACGAGACTTGAAGTATTGACTCTAATTTTGATAATGATTACCAATTCCAACACGTTAGTTAGTATTAGTGCATAACGAGAGGAGAGTTTAATTTAAATGACGATTGGAAGCATGCAATATTCACCAGACTGCCTTCCAATTTAGAGCACTGGAGGGAGAAAGCCCAATTCATAAGGATAGAAGAATTTTGCAGCAAAGGAAAGACAAGTCTCTATTGTTTTCGCCAAACAATAGATGCCTCATTTTATGTTCCACCCTAAGGGGAAACCTTCTAAAAATTGGCTGGTACAGAATATTGATAAGCAAGAAAGTTCATTGGCAACATTAAAGGCTCATACTGATTGTGGACAATGTTTCTTGCTGATTAGATTCTTTTATGCACATGGAATAGAAACAGAAACAGATTTTGGACAAGCTGTTCAATGGTATCAACAATCAGCAAAGGCAGGCAATGCTACTGCTCAATGTAATCTTGGTTAGATGAATTGGAGTGTTTTATTTATGACAGAGGAATTGAATTGATGCCCGAAATTAAGCGGTGTGAGCTAGTGATAGCGAGTAATGGTGAATAAAAGCTACTTGTTCGAGCAATTTTATTTAATTTTTCGGAACTGTTATAAGATATATCGTTTGTAGCAGCAGACATGAACAGATTCAACTTAAGTTGTCTCGCTCATTGTTATGACTATCATTTCCATATTTGTACACTGGAATATTGTATTAGTATTAGTATTAGTGTGTCTAACACTAAAGTAACTTTAACGAACATGTCAAAAACCAGAGGCATAGCAATCGCGATCCCTTCAAGAGATCCAATACCCGAAAGAACACAGGTAGACCAACCAATAATCGTAGAGACTCTATCACCTCCTGAGCGTCAAGACAAGCACAGAAAAATAAAAACAAGCAAGCGAAGAATACGTGCATGGGAGGACGATCCCGACGAACAGCCAGTGAATGTCAATGTTACTACCATGGCAGAGCTATGCAAAGACGTAAGGGTTGGTCGGAAATCAAAAGTCTTCAGGGAGCTCGAAAAAGCCAAGTACGAAAAATTTCAAGAGCGAAAGGCCAAAAAGAAACGACTCACTGCGGCGGTTCGATCAACGCCTGTTACCGACGAACCAGAACAAGCCTCTCCGCCAGTACCTCAACCTCCTCCTCCTCCTCCTCTTCTTTCACCTTCTCCGTCTCCTCCTTTATCTTCTCCTATCCCTTTGTCTTCTCCTTTAATTCGACCATCACAACCCGTCTCGATAATTGAGGGTGAAGAGGTATCCATATTCGATGGTATAGAAGATCCAGACGAAGTCATAAACACAAGATCTCGGAAAAGTGAGACCTCAATTACTTCTGATATAGACGTTTCTGATGGCGCCCTAGAAGACGTCTTACGGAACGACGGACCACATAAACGACAAAGAACAAATTCTATTACTTCTGAACACTCGATTGAGATTGTACATAGTGATGAGGAGGCGTCACAGGCGGTTGATTCTGGACCAGAGTCAAATGACATTAGAGCTCTCGAATGGGACCTAGGTGGCATCAAAGAGACGTATGTACAGCTGGCGAATGATATTTGAGTAATCGTAGGGATATGTAACATCCTTAGTTATAAAACCCCTTTGTTGTCAATCTAATCTAGTACGGCCGCTCCTCAAGTCAGAGTAGTAAACGGGGAAATAGTAATAGATGAAGACTCGTTACGTATCGATCGGTCTGCTATGCATAAACCAGTCCAGGAAGAGTTGTTAGAATTGGTGGTAGAAAATCCATACTCAACGATAATAAACAGTGCTAGCTATTCAAAGAGAAGCCGAGCAAACGAAAAATGGAAGGAGGAGGAAACGGAACTATTCTACAAGGTATCTATTAACACGAGTGTGTGTGTATATGAATTCTCGTATAAATAATTATGGATACATTTTTTGTTGTCCATTATTATAGGGCTTGTCCATGTGGGGCACGGATTTTGAGATAATATCCAAACTTTTTCCAACCCGAACTCGTAGACAAGTTAAGGCAAAGTTTAAGCGAGAGTCGAGGTTGGATCCAAAAAGAATCAACGAGGCTACTGCCAATCGGATTCCTATAGGTAAATTTTAATATTTGTATCGTGTATTGCTATCTACGCTATCTACGCGCATTCGGGTATGATAGTTTGTACTAATAATGACCTGTTGTTCAGATTTAGAGGAATTTACCAAGATTACTGGCGTAACTTTGAACGTTCAAGATATTTCGGATTGAGTACCTATTATTGTATGGAATAAACGGATAATGCTGAATCATCCTTGTACTATATTTAGAATTTATATAAAGTCTCACACTTTATTACTGATGTTTTATATGTATTTTATTTGTTATTATTTAGTTGAGTTCGAGTATAGAGGAGTTGTTGATGGCTTTCTATGTTTGATTATTGATGCATGTATGCTTTTTCCAATATCCTCGTATGTTATAAAGGTTCAATACCCGTCGCGTCACGTATTGGCTCTCCTTCGCCCTACTCCTTCCGTCGGCCCGCTGTCCTCGTGAGGAAGCAATATATTGTTGCATTTGAACTGTGTTTACTGCGGATATTCTATTTGTTCCAGGGGAGCTGCGTAAGTGTAGGTGTTTGCGTTAACCCCTTTCAAGTGGTGGTCTTATCGGATATTTTAACTATGCAGTTAAGCGCTAGCCTGCATAGTTCGATAGTTTTTTGGATATTCTGTTGTACCCCGAATAAAAGATTGCGAGATAGAGTTGCGCTCCTCGTCTAGCCGCGATTTGAAGCAATAAAAATGCCATTAAATCGTTTCCTTCAACACCCTCGCCGTGGTAATAACAAAGAGCAAAATTATGTAACGCGATAAGGTGTCCCCGTTTGGCAGCTCTTCGATAATATCTGATAAATTTTGGGAACGGGAACGCCCTGCCGCTCCTTTGCGGACATTGTTTGCCACGTCCGAATGCTGCCAACTTCACCGGCCGGGAACACTTTTAGCGTTCAATCGTAGATTTGGAAGTGCATGTGTATGGTTCCAATTTTATTAGCCTACATCCTGCAGAAAAGGTTTACTTTTTCGCTTCTTGCAGGATTGTGTTGGTGGCCATGCGATAGCTATGTTATAATGCATGTCCACTACATGCATATATAACTGGCTGTGGCCGGTTCGGAAGTCGTAGGCGTCGTGCATCTCTATATCTCGTCGTTTATTTCGAAGGAGCGGCATCCGGTAGATAGATAGAGAGAGAGAATAAGTTTTTGTTTATTTTTCTGTTAGGTTGTGAATTTTTGAATAACTTGCGCATATAAAGCCAGGTGGGGGGAAGGAGTTGATGTCAAAAAGGTGGAAGGAGTTGATGACAAAAAGTCCGACTTTTGTACTTTCCGGCGATTGATTGTTACACAAGTCTGAATTTGGAAGCGGAAAGTTGTCATTAATTATAATCGCTATTTCGATATTATGATATTAAAATCAATAGGATGAAAACTTACTCTCAAACTGAAGCATGCCACGAATACGTTGTCCAGTCAACAATCGCGGGAGAGCAATCGACCTGTATAAGCTAGGCTTTACTACTCACGACATTAATCCTGGACGGTTATCGTTATTCGCCTCGAGTTAATCTTCCTATGGGTCGGGGTATAAGCGAATAACAATCGTAATATCCACGGGACAAGAGGCTAAAGCCTGATAACAGACTGCTGGATGCAAATTCAATTGAAGTATCTGATGAAGAGACAGGATATTCATAAGGATTAGCGGTTCACAACTATATCGATAATTACCAGGGTTAATAAACCAATTGTTAACTAGTTCCACAATAGTGCCATCGCTTAACACACATAACCTTTCTTTTGTATAAATATCGTTTAAAGTCTACTGAGATCATACATTAATCGGTTTCCATGCTAATTGCTAAAGAAAGTTGAACTCTGAAATCGATAAAGAAGTAGCATAGCGTGCCGTAGCATACCACAACGCACGTTCGTAAACATATTAATATTGCTGATTCTCTACCCGCACAGATGATAACCTCTATATAGACAACTCATTTTCGTTGTTTGTAAAAATAGCCCAGCCACTGTATATTGCCATTGACTGCTTTACCATTTTGACATCGAAATAGAAACTTCCAAGCAACGCTTTATCAATTAATATGTTTGCTCGATTAACCATGAATGTATCCCTAGTACTAGACACGCGTTTAATTATCTCAGCCGAGAATGCATTATGGAAAATAAATCAGGCAGTCGTTCATTTATTGCGACGTCCAACTGAGGCCAGTTATAGAGAACGAATCAATTGGCAGTTTCACTTCCCGATGAGTGTGCGATATATGAGTTATTTACTCTTTTTTTTGTTTAACTTGTACAAGTTCACTGATCCTTCAAACTATCCCAAGCCCATACATACTAATACAAATTTAACACTGAAACTATAAATATAATAAACAATCAACAAATAGATACAAGAAACCTAACATATATTTATAACCCAAACTCCGCAATAAATAAAGAAACCGAGGATGGTAATAGACGGCGGAGAGATCCCCCAGCAACTTCGCCATATTCCCATTGAGACATCATGTATCATTCCCATAGTTTAAACCAAAAGCAAAACTAGGGTTCAAATATCCGCCCAATCAATTGCGAATCCATTCGCTGGGACTCTGGAAGAAGAAAGAGAAAAACTTGGGTTGGATAAAGCAAGATTCGTTAATTAAAGTGACCGAAGAGAAATAAGGAATGTAAATAATGCGACAAAAAGCGAGAATGGGGATGGGGATGTCAAAGAAATGAATGCAATACTTGGTCCAAGTAAGCATAAAGAGAATGGATATGCTATCAAGTCAATAGATATTTTCCAAGAATAATAGATGGATACTAATCTCCCAATCCTGGATTGAGATGTCTCTTCTCAACAAATTCTCTTTTCAATAACGAACAAAGACGGTTAAAAACTGAATAATGATAACATAAAATTGTAATAAGAACATATGTGTATATATACTTATAAACTATGTGGGTAGGGGCTATACGATTAAAAATGTCCATTAGAGAAATGAGCAGTAAAAATATTCGATTTATAGGAATGATTTAAAAAAAAAAAGGAAAAAGAAGGAACTTTAATATTCCCACTTGTATATTAATTAGTTCCAATAGCACATCCCCACTTTTTGCAGACACGATGACCGATACACATATCAACGAAAAGAATTAAGCGCCATGTTATGTCACTCTACTAATGACCATTAATCATGTTGAACATTTTTCCGTTTTCTTCTCGAAGACGTTCGTTTTCCCTGCGAAGGTCATCAACCATTTTTGTGCTCTCTATTAATTCTTCGTTATTTTTACGCAGATTCTCGAGTTCATGATTTTGTGTTTCGATCTTAGCCTATATACAAACAAGTTGTGGACATGATATTAAAAATTTGTTGCGTATTGATGATTGAAAATATCTGGCTTGCTTCATCAACCAATCAATCGTTAAAAAGAAACTTGCCTCTTGCTGATCATTTTCTTCTTCGATCCATTTAAGTTCCATAGTAGTATTCTTGATCTTTTCATCTTTCTCTTCAAGTGCTCGTGCATGTGCAGCCTCTAGTTCGGCAATCTTTGCGTTATGCGCTTGGTGAAGTGCTTCTATATTTCCAACCTAAGATGACAATACAAACAACGAACTAAATAACAATCTATAAATTTTAACAACCACTCGCGTAATTGATGCTTACATTCTTAAGTCGCTTGTTGAGCTCATCGAATTCCGCGTCCTTTATCGTGAGAAGATTCTCAAATTGTCTCTTTACAATGTTAGACTCTTCTTCGAATGCCTTCATTTGTTCAGTATGAGCTTTCGTGAGCTGCTCAATGTCGTCTTCATGATTCTATTGACAATACTTATATGGTTAGCTAGCGTATCCAAACGCGATCGTCTACAATCAATCAGATTCTCACCCGCTTATTGGCTGCCATCAACGACTGCATCTCTTCGGCGTGTTGCTTAGCGAGGGAATTCATGTGCTCGGTAAATTCCTATTCGTAACATGAATGTTATACTTAACCACGTGCCAAACTCGTATTCAACGCCAAATGTTACACTACCGTCTAATGACAAATAAAAAAAACAACTCATTTATAGTCTGTACCTGCAGCTGATCTTCATAGTCATTGTTCTGTTTTTTGGCAATCGAAAGCTGGTTTTGCAGTGCTTCAAGTTCATCAAAGGAAGCATTATCAGACTTAACCAACTCTTCCAACTCTTTAGCATGAGTCTCCTTTAGTTCCTTTAGCTCGGCTTCGTGTTTTGCGACAAGGTCCTACAATTAGTTGAATGTTGTTATACAACAAAAGTTAGAAAACTCTGCCATAACAGCAAGGCGAAAAAAGCAAAGAGGTGAAGTACAAGGCCCAAACAACCAAGGCGGCAACAAGTGACCAAAGCGTTTGAGATATTAAAAAGTCAATAGCACAAAAGGTCTTTTTGAAGAGCCGCCAGAACCAACGCCCAACTTACCATTTCGACCAACTTATCCTCGGACGCAGTCTTCTTCAAACTTTCGATTTCTGCTAGTAAAACTTCTACTTGAGCCTTACTTTCTTTCTCAAAAGCGGACATCTTCTCTTGAACATCTTTTGCATGTTTTTCCTTCAGTTCTACAATAGCCTTTTCATAGTCATCTTTCAAACTCTCTTGCCTTATGGTTTGCTCTTCGTATTTATTGACAAGAGTTTCTACTTCTTTAGCATGCTCGGCCTTTAGGGTCTCGATTTCTTTTGCGTAAACAGCCGAATCGTTACCTCCAGCGTCTCTGGTTGCAGCCAACGCAGCTTCGTGTTGAGCCTTGAGTTCAGATATCTCGGTCTCATGCTTTTTGATTAGTTCCTCTCTATCTTGGGAATGCTGAGCTCTGAGTGCGACAAGCTCTTGAACAGCACCATCATACTTGGTTTGAAGATTAGACTTGAGTTGTCTGACTTCCTCTTCGTGCGTACGTTCGAGGTTTAGGAGTTGTTCATTGTGTTGGGAAACGAGTTTTGACTATCAGAATGCAAAACTGTCAGTAAGCAAAAGGGAAGAAAGAGAGCAAACATGGTAATAATAAGCAAGACTATGTACTTGAGCATCATCTTTGGCAGCTTCTATCAACTCTTCACGTTCTTTGACGAGTTTTTCTAATTGCGCGTTGTAGGCCTGTTCTTTCTCACTGAGGTCGCGGGCATGCTGGGCTTTCAATTGTTCAATGAGGACGCCCACTTCTGAGGCTTGCTCCTGCTGGGAAGACTAAAAAGAAAGACAAAATAAACATCGACGCATATTCTTAGAACAGCAAATAATCCCTTTCGACCCGCCGACTTCTAACCTGTAACTCAATGTTAACTTGTTCACGCGCTTGTTCGCGTGTCTGCTCAATATCCTTGGCGTGCTGGAATTCCAATGCTTTGATATCAGCTTCATGAGCCTCTTGCAAGTTTTTAATCTCTTCCAGATGAGCTTTGTCTTTGTTCTATTTGAAACAATAAAGAGTAAGAAAACTAGGAAGCAACGAGAGGATAAACTCTACCAGAAAACCAGATTCTTACCTCTAGATCTACTCGCAATGCAGTAAGTTCTTGTGCAACGCTTTCTCCACTCTCAAGCCTTTGTGTTAATTCGGCCTCCTTTGCCGCATTACTAGAATTTATCTCACGAAGCTCATTAAGCTCATTCTCATATTTAGCCTTGATCTGCTCCACCTTTTCTTCGTATGTCACCTTGTAGTTCTAAATAAGGGTTATGGGATAGGCCAAGTGTCTAGTTCCAAACATGCTAAAAAAAAAGTGTTGCCCACAAAATTTTATTATTCGACACATACCGAAAGCTCATCTTCTAATCTTTTCCTTTCTTTCCTAAGCAATTCGATTTCTGCTTCCTTCGACAACGCTTCATCGTGCTCGATCTGAGTTTGAGCAGTTCCTTCTTCTGATAGAACTGCGCCATCGAGCGATTTCTGACTTATAGACGCCTTGAGAGTTTCAAGTTCTTTTTCTTGGGTCTTCAACAGATTATCCTTTTCCTCGATGAGTTTTTGAAGCTCCTCGATCTAGATGTTTAGAAGCAGGAATGAAAACTCGACCAAAGTGTAAGGGATACAAAAAGTATTTATTAAATAGTAGAATTACCAACCTTTTCTTTATAACCATGAATTTCGGCAGCTGCAGACGCCGACGTCGACGCAGATGCCTTTGCAACGCCGTTGGCCTTAGCCGGAGGTTTTGTTGCCGTTGAAGTTGGCTTGGTACCGGTGGTTGTGGTCGAAGTTTTTGTCTTTGAAATGCTGGACGAAATGCTGGGCTTCTTGGCATGAGTAGAAGGCGTAGATCCGACGCTAGTTGTCCTCTTTGCGGTGGTTGTCGTAGTCGCAGAGGCCGTAGGAGTTTTAGGTGACTTTACGGTACTAGAACGCGTAGTAGCTGTGCTGACCTTCTTATCGGTTGCGGATCTAGTAGTAGTCGCACCGATAGTTGGTTTTACAGTCTTTGTCTTTGTTGTAGTAGTGGCGCTGTTTTGACGAGTGGTCGACTTTACGGGAGCAGTCGAGGTCTTTGAGATGGATGAGCTGCGAGTACGTGTTTTAGCAGTAGTGGTAGCGGTTGCAGATGTTGTAGTTTTTCCGGTAACACTCGGTTTTGAACGTGTTTTTGTTGCTATTTTAGAGGGAGCAGCGGGTTTCGCAGACTTTTTTTCCTGCTCTTTTTCCTTGACGGAATCCTCAGTAATAGGGCTTTTGGGAGGAGTGAGCGGTTCTGCCGGAGGTTTGGTGGATTCTTTGCCTTCGGTAGCAACAGATTCACCAGAGATGGATCTGTTTTCGTGAGCTTCCTCGTGGGATTCGTCTTTGCCGTCGGTTTCGGCAATCGACTCGTCCTCGGTATGCTCTACATGATCCTCGGTGTGGTGTTCGCTGGTCTCGCTGACAGCATGTTCAGTGACTTCGGTTTGATCGAAGTGTTCGACAATGCCAGCATTTGTTTCGAGTGTTTCAGCATCTTTGTGGTCTAATGCTTGTTCGACAATGCGAGTGGAAGTAGTATGCTCGAATTTTTCGACGACTAGGCCTTCGGGCAGAGGTATATCGTCGGTAGAGGTAATGGTTGCAGTGTTGACAATTGTTGCTTGTTCGGTCTGTTGTTCAATGGAAGTTTCATCATGGCTTATTTCATCTTCCTTAATGTCGTCCTGAACTTTCTCGGAATCTACATTTTCAACTTGTACGACTTCGACAACTTCGACGACTTCGACGACTTCGCTGACGACTTCTTCGTGGTATGTCTCCACGGCGGCCATTATTATAGTCTATTCTTTTATTCTAAGTAGATAGCAATTAGAGGTCACGTTTTAATGTTTCAGAGTTGATAGGGTGATATGAAGTTCAAGTGAGTAGATGAGGACGCGACCGAGTATGTACTAGAGTAGTTGCGAACATTCTACATTTGTATTAGCGGAGATGTGCTGTCATAGAAGGGGATATTAGATGCTTACCTTTGATACCTTGGTAGATATAAGTGGAAGGGGAAGGGGAGAAGTCGAAGAGTGAGTAGACGAGGTAACTGTTGCCTCTTGACGAAGCACAAGAAGTAGAGTTTGCTTCGACGGGGGCAGTAAAGTAGTAGATGAGGGGCTGGTTGTGATGTGTGTGCAATTTGCCGTTTGGGGTAAGTGAGGATTTGATCTGTCGAGCAAGAAGGGTTAGAGTGACAAGTGCAGTGGGAACACAGTATAAATTGATGTAATGATGGGTGTTTGATATGTGTTGATGTGGTTGATGTGCATTGTGTTCACAAAAAAAAACTTCAATTGAGCTGAAACCCATTGTCTTAGAGACGGTGGATTTCACAAAGAACAAAACGGAGCAGATTATATTATGTATTAGTATATTTTATATAATAAAAGATGCAAAAGATAAACAACATCCAGTTTATATGCAGTGTATCCAGGATGCTCTTTTTTTTTTCACTCTTCATCTATAGAGTGTCGATTTGGACTAGATAGATAGCATCACATCACACATACAACATCACACATACATAACACACACAAATAACAACACGCATAACATACACACACGCACTCTCGCTAACTCTCATTATCCCCCTTCTCTCCGATACTAACCGTTATATAGAAGGTTGTTATCACGTGATAAAATATTCGGCAATGTTAATCTATAAGACTAAATGAATGAAGCAATGATCGGATGAGGGAGTGATCGGATGTAGATTAATGCGGATGTTGCCATTTGGGGGGGGAGACGAGGAGGGGGAATAATTGAATGGCTGAATGACTGGAATGGGAATGGGGAATTGAATAATTACAATAATAATCACAATAATAATAATAATAATAATAATAATAATAATAACAACAACAACAACAATAATAATAATAAATAATGGAATAATGGAATTGTAACGGTATTGTAACAGTGGGTATAGTTAATATTAAAATGTCTAAATTATTATTTTTCCACACGAACAAAGCGAAGAACTGAATTGTGTGAAACGGTAATGAAAAGGAATGACAAATTAAGACAAGCATTACATGGATTTACCAAAGATGATAAGATGGTAAATAGAGTTGTCTATTAAACATGGGTACGTGATATAAAGACCCTGTGGGATAATCAATAATGGTTCTTTCTTCTGAAAAGAATCATATCTCTATCTCCCATCTCCATCTCTATACATATGTATGTATGTATGCGTATGTACTGTATATGTACTGTATATGTACTGTATATATTAATATGTACGTATATCTGATATTTGTTAATACTTGATGCCTGGCAAGTCGGCATTAACATCATTCCTACAATGTATCACTTATTATTAGTTGCCTTTTGCCTTTCCCCTTCCCAAGCGTTCTGCCCTTTCAAAAGCTATACACGTGATATAATCTCCCTTCCTCTCTAGTTGTACAAGGCTTGTATACATTCTCAAACATAAAAATCTTACGTTTTGCATTCATTCTGGTTATTATGTTTTTTGAAGTTTACACAGCCTCCCTCTTCCTCCCTTGCGCCACTCTCCTATCCAATCATACTCCAGTGGCTGTTCTGGAAAGGCTTATGTTCACATTACTAATAATATTTCCAAAACTAATTATCCACTTCCCATTCAAGGGGTCACCATTTCCTCATTCTCTCCGATTTTCCATACCTTTATTCACAATATGGCAATTTGTGCTACATTTGTAGAATGAATTAATCGGCGGAGCTATATGAGAATTTATTCAAATTCATTGTCTAAAAGGAGATAGAGGCCGTGTCGTTGACTACGCCTATTTTAATTAAGTTTGAATCGACGTTCTCGGTCACTTTTTCTCTCTCTCATTCTTAAAGATCTTTTCCAAAACTCGAGTGCATCGCGAAAGACACTCGCGCCTTCCCAAAATAAATATCTGTACAAAATCACAGATTTTCTTGATTTGATTTATCGAAACATAGCGGCAATTTAGTCCGAAACCACAAGAATGGCAAGTTTCGGAGACTTCAATACAATATGCGAGACGGTTGCCCTCACGGTATGTCCTCTGGTAGGCACAAGCCAGGGAATTCAGCCAACCTGCTACTCGAGAAACGTCGAAATTGGTGGAACTTTGATCTTTCAACCAGGTAAATAGGAGAAACCCCTCCCGATTGCGAGAGCGAAAATGAAAGGACGTTGGACAAAAAAGTACTTGCGACTTCCTATCATACAACACGATACGAAATCATGTCAGATATCGAGAGCAATATAATAATTCTCAAGCTTTTCTTTTGTTTATCTGTATGTGTGCGTGTATATGTGTATGTGTGTTGTGTTGTGTTGTGTTGTGTTGACAACTACCCTACCCTACAGCTACTCTTATTATCCACGTGATTGCACTCATAATGACGACCATCATGATTATTCATATCAAATCTAAATATACTGCTGTCGGTAAGTAGATACGGGAAATGCACTTGCAGTATCATTTGCACGTTTCGTGAGTATTCCGCCAAATCTTATTAATTCTACCGATTGAATAATAGGTCGAAAGGAGATTGTGATGTTCTTTTACTCTTATATGTTGCTTACATTCTTGGAACTGTTGCTGGTGTCAGGGATCATTCCAACTTCATCAAATGTTTACTCTGTAAGTACTACGATTAGTCAGCCAGTCATTCAGATAAAGCCTTTTATTCGATCATTCGAGCTATTATCGTCAACTAGTTGATAACGAATTCGTTTTCCAACAGTATTTCGTAGCGGCACACGTTGGTCTTATCTCGGTAACGTTTTGGATACTTTTGCTTAATGGATTTGTCGGATTTCAGTTTGCCGAAGATGGTACTGCATTATCGCTCTGGGTAAAGTATCAAATCAAAGAAAAAAAAACCTGCAACAAAGAATGGGCACTGTATACAATCACCAACTGCTTTGATGACTTGACAACATCTTTCCACACTTTCTAACGTATTTTCACTTTTATAGTCGATCCGTATTTCATCACTTGTGCTCTTTAGCGCAGTGTATTTTATAGCGATTGCAACTTTCCGTAGTATCGGTCCATTCAGTAATACAAGTCCAACGGCGCTTTGGATCATAATGTACATCTTCAATGGGGCAGCTCTTGTCATCTACGTAGCATTACAGATCGTTCTCGTCATCAAGACCCTCGATGATCGTTGGCCATTGGGTGATATCCTCTTCGGCGTTGCTTTCTATATCATTGGACAAGTAACAATATACGTATTCTCCGTCAGAATTTGTGACACAGTTAAGCATTACATTGATGGTTTGTTCTTTGGAACCATTTGCACTCTACTGGCTGTGATGATGGTATACAAGTATTGGGATTCAATTACAAAGGAAGATTTGGAATTCTCTGTCGGAAGTAAACAGAATGTATGGGAGGTTAAGGAATTACTTGTTGAGGATGAATTGGCTTATTCTCAACAAGGATATGGTGGTGGATATGGACAGCAATCCTTCGGCGGATATCCTCGCTAGAAGACATTGAAGTTATGTGGTGGTCAGATTAAAGGGGAGAAGAGGGAGAAGGGGATAAAAGCGGTTGTTTTGATCTCGGTCTAATAAACATTTTTTTGTATTGGTTAGATGTTAAGTATTATTAAGGGAGTTTTATGACCTGTCTGTATTTTTTTGTTCTTTTTATTGCATGTATTATTCAAATTAAATGATGTTTCACAACAAAACGTTGGTTTATCAATTAACGAGATCAAGTGTAATCACAAAAGAAAACTTTTAATTACCAACGATGCACAAATCAATTGCGCGTGATATTAAAGAAGGGAAAATACGTTGGATCTGAATAACGAGAGGCTACGAAGGGGAGGTCTGCAGATTGATTATGTCTTTCTTCGAGCCTATTAATCATGTGATCTGACAAATTTACAAAATGCTAACATCTCATAATAACATCCAGGAGTCATATTTTAAAGAATCAGACATATTCGTTGATTTTGCAGGTTCATTATTATGTTGCAGAGCTTTACATGGTCAGAACAATTCGTAATAATGAGAATTTTTTGATACGTCACCAATGGGATACTATATTGTCAAGTATTGGGAATGTTATTAAAATACGTAGTGAGATGGCTATCCATAATTATCTTAATTAGTTATGCAGTACCTGCTTAAGAACAAGTTGATCTAATCTAAAATACGTTGACCGTATAATGTTTTTTTCCCTTGGCTGCACATTTGTAAACAAACGAAATTATCCCGTGGGAATTGAATTGATAAGTTATGTATGAAATATTGTTCTACGAATATGAAAGGCAATACATTTCTTAGAAATAAGCTTGCGTTTGGCTGATCATTCATACATAGTTACAAGCTATGCGGACGTTTCAAAAGATATATTTTAGTAACCCTGCTAAGGCCGATGCTAAAAAAAAACGCGTGCTAATAATAGAACCTTGCTAATAGATTTGAGTTTATAGAAATAAGAGATGTTATTTTGTCTCCTATCCGGTGGGGTTTGATTTCTTGTAGGTATCTTCTCAATTTCTCGGGGGTTATTATAAGTTTTGTATTAATGCTCACTTATATTTATTTGCAATTTTTCGTTCTTTTGTAAGTAAATTTTCTTTACCTGAAGAGCTTGCTTTAAAACATGAAGGGTTTTCTTTCTTAAATTCTTTTACTTGAATCGCAGATTTAGGTGCAGTTGTTGCCATTAATTTAGTTTATATTTAACATAGAGAATTGCCGGAAATAATAGTATGTCCCAACAATCTGTGATAAAGTTTAATTGTAATGTCAACTATATTATAAGGTGGATAACTTTCGCGGATCAACCTGATTATGACGTTTCTTATAAAATAATTGGGTTTGAACAACAAAATCAAGAAGTTAAAAGGTAAAAGAAACACCATACAGTATAAGCTAACAGAATTTTTCTTCAGAAGATTTGGAGTTGCTTTCTTATCATCAGTTGACAAACTTAAAAGAAAAAACTGCTTCTATGTACATTTAGAGGCGTATTTATCGATTGGAGTAATCGATTAGCTAGATTTTTATTTCTATCTAATCGGTTTATGTTAAATTTTACCGAATTGTGTTCTTTTTCTCTCTTGAGTTCTTGATACTCAGATGCTACTATTAAAATATTAAGATAAACCTTTTTTTATAATCGGTCACTGGTGTCTTGAACGTTACTAACACAAGTCGCTAAGGAAAAGAAAAAAGAGTTATTCTTATACGCTGGTAGTGAATTTATTAAAATTGAAATGTTCAACCAATAAATGTTATTGAAGTAATCTTTTCCTCGAGTGAGCATGGCGAATAATACTTAAAGCTAGAAACATTCTCAAATTAAAGTTTTTTGTCTAATTTTTTTTTTTTTCACGGATGTTCTACACACTTGAATGCGAGAACGCATTCACAATTAGTTATTCGATCTTATTATACAATCGTGTTAATACTAAGAAGTGTACTTACTCTCGTGTTAATTCGACCATACACTTGCATCGAAGAATTTGCTCAACTATAAATGACGTTCGACTAAGATAAGATAACGACTAGCAGAGGATATCTTCATAATCGAGATTGTTAGACAGATCGCTGCGTCGCGAGTAATCAGTCTATGGTCTCATCAAAGTAACTTGTGGAAAGAAATACGCTTTAAGACAAATAACAAAATTAAGAGCGACGCGAAGTCATCACTCGTACAGGTATGTAATGTGATTCCCTGAAGGATTAATATCGTATGATAAAAGCACAAAACTAGCGCAATTACTAAATACGAGAATATTAATCCACGGGGCACATTGCAAAGCAGCAGCGAGAGAATCCATCACGGCACCCACAGAAAAAAACCCACAAACGAACAAACTAAGGGTAAATGAAGCTAAATAAATTCCAAGAAAATGTAACTTGACAAAGAAATGTTACCTCATATTATCATTCTGCCAAGATTATGTTAGAACCAAAAATGTATTGGTTATTAGCAAAACCACCGATGTATTCAATACCCAACATGTACTATCTTAGGACCGGCGTTAAATAAAGGAGATTTTGGACAAACATTTTTAATTTTTAAAATTTCTTACTTGAAAGTTGTTAAATATTAGAATTGCAGGCAAAAAATGAACAACATCTGAACTTTTTGAAAATACGGTTGTTGCATTATGTCCACCTTGTCTGAATTTGTTGCGGCATTCTTCATATGAAATGGTATGCAAAGTTTTCTTATTAACATTTTCCAAGACGTTATTGTTCTGCGAACTGATTTTTTAGATGTTTAGGAATGCAATATTTTTCTTCCTCAGAGCTAATAAGTGCCTTATAATGTTTACATATACAATTTGAATATGGTTAATCACACATCCATACAATTGACATTTACCAACGAGCACATAGTTGCACTTGATTACGAAAAACACCTGTTGTTTAGGATAACCTGTTGCTCTGGATGATGTCCAAGAGGGTAATATGCTGATATTATTTTTTAGTCACTCTAATATAGCATAAACTACAGTTTTAGTCAAACTTTTGGTCGTATTCTGTAGAAACTATTGCAAAAAAAATGATGCTTATATGTTAATCAGACTTGCATGTTGCGATAAGACATGACTGACAACGCGGATTATTATAGTGCACACGGAAAAAATCTTAAAACGCAACCAGATTTAAAGTGAGTAAAGGAGAGTTGATCTTGGGCAGGTGCTAATAAAAGATTAAATAGAGAGCAAGAGATTAGAAGAACAGGCTTATGTGACGCGTCGAAAGCATATTGACAAAAAAATTTGCAATAGATTTATACCATTCTATAATGATAAAATGATGACATATAGTTTATCAGTCGACAGATCAAACCCTTTTTTTCCCCCACAGAACTAACACATTAGTTTCACGCGTATCTACATACCCTATAAAAATAGAATTTCGCCTTGAAGTTCTCAATCACAGTAATATTAATATGCCGTGGCTATGTAACAGCGTATCGGAAAACTCGCAGCTTTTTGAGATAAGATTTGCGGGCTAGAATATTTATTCATTGATGCAAGAATTATAAAGCATTACCAATTATACTTGTTTCAGCGTCATTCATTCATAAATAAGAGTGTCTTGTTTCAATACTAATCATTTTCAAGAATATAATTTCGGTGGAGGAAAATATCCCCCAAACGCTACTGTCACAACACGAGAGCTGATCGTCAATTGAAGAGATATCTGGCAAGATATTTCAATCCCACTCGGCTAAAAGTATAAAACACAAAATACGAAAGTAGAAAAGCTGAGGCCCCTGCCCTTACCCCTGAGATTTTCTGTGGCTTCGAATTGGTTGGATGTCAGCGGGTCTTATTAGTAACACCTGTGGGTAATAATAATCATCGTAGATAAGAGTCTTTGAATGCAGTTAACCAATCTATCAATCTGTGACCCCATCGTACAACACAAGGGATCGCATAATACTCTATGATGATTATCGCCCACCGGCTGCGAAAGGCCGAGAATTGAATGAATGGATGAATGATACATGCCGAGTACGATCGTGGCAATGCAATGCAAAGTGATAGGCCATTTTTGAAAGTCTTACTGCTGTTGATAATACGCCATTATGAAGCCGTATAATCATGACTAAGCATATTATGTGCATTCATTGCTCTGGGTTACTTGACGAGTGTTGATCCCGTGAACACTTACCCAAACCGATAAGGCATGTGTAATCTTCGATGAAGAAAGATGAACACGATTGGAAAGGGCATATAATTAGAATGCATAGATAGAATGCTATTCGAGAAATGATTAGATTGATATTACAAAGGTGATTGTAGTTTAGCTTTTGAATCAGAGTACAAAGAATAAGAGGGTAACGTTAATTGTGTTAATTGTGTCTGTACTATCGTGACCGGATTATGTAGCCGTAACGAATGCATAAGGAATGGTGAATCACAGTGAGAGAAGGAAAAAAAACCGAGTATGTCTAAACAAGTAATTGCGCGGGAGATCGATTCAGGACCTAGCTGTGTGTTAAAAGGGACGGATGATAATCATTGGCTGGGAGTGAACATCTCATGAGTTCATATTATTCTTTTCACCTTATTCATTTGTCATGTGATAATAGCGTGCTTTGTAGAATGGATGTTGGTGCCGTGGGGATACAAACACACAAATATACATTTAGAGTTTGATATTTTATAGGTGATAAATATTGCGCAATGCCCAACCCCGATATCCAATCGAAAATGGCATAACAATGATATATACTTTGTGATGATTCTTGGTGTTAATATCATTAATACAGAATACAGAATACAGAATGCAGAATACAGAATACAGAATACAGAATACATCCCTCACTTCCGTCACTAACTTCCGTCACTAACTTCCGTCACTCACTCCCGTCACTCACTTCCGTCACTCACTCCTGCCACTCACAATCGTCACTCACTGCCCCACCCTCACTCACAATCAACCAACTGCCCCACCCTAACCCTAACCCTCATCTCACCCTCACCACCCCACCCCCTAATATTTGGGTTTAGTTTGTTTATCGTTCTATTTCTTTTTTCCTCACCGAAATTCTTAATTTAAACTTGGTGTTTATTAGATTGTATATTCTATAATCCTTTTTTGTCGGTCGAAAAAAAGGAGAAACCCGAGGTGAGAATTAGATAAGAGAATGTGCAGCAATGGATGTTTTTTAATCAATGCTCCGAAACAAATTCCGAAAGTATAAACAAGTGTATGAATTATGATTGCTGCCTTCACATTACATTGCTTTGTAACTCTTACTTTATCAGGATTATCATTGAACCTTATTCCAGGGGACACATTTACGCCTCCCCCACATCTATATGCTCGAATTATGATGGGATTCTTCGAGTACAGCATAACAAAAAGGAATAGCACAAAACTTATCAACATTCATAGCTGAATGAAAGTACATTATGGTTAATAAGTTCATACATGAACACATATGAATACAGGCGTTGGTATTTGAAAAAGAGCCTAACAAGGAACATAAAGTTAATTAGGGTGGTAGTAATATTAAGGTTAACCAAAAACAATAACATTTGATACCAATGAAAATAGTAAATAATAATACTAATACCAAATCCGCCAATAATACTGTTTGCATACTTACACTCTTATTCGATCGAACAGTATGGAAAAAGGTTTTTCTCTTGTTTATGAAGGAGCCTGTTTTGTGCTGCTGTTGCTGTTGGTGGCGGCGGGGATGATGTCGCCGTTATCGTCGTTGTCTTGTCATTATTATTCCTATATTATCATTATTATTACTAGCATTATTAGTATCCAATCTCCTTATCCTGTTATACTGTACTCCGAAACGGGAATGTACTTGACGGGGACGAATAAAAAGGGGAATTAACCATAAACAAATCACAGGACAAAAATATGCCTGTATTAAGTAATAACAAAGTGTAGCTTTGCTTTGTGACAAGTTCTAAAAGTACTTGTTTGTTGAGTGTTCTTTTAGCATTGCGTAATATTAGATACGCTTGATATAATTAATTGGACAAATAACTTCATTTACACACAGTTATATGATAGAGGAGGTGGTGAACATGTTTGGTGCTAGAATGGACAAATCAATCCATGACGGATTACTATTACTGATACCCCGTGTTTATTCTCACGATAATAGAACTGCTGACAGAACCTTTGTTAATGATTTGGGGGGAAGAGAGGAGAGAGACAAAAGCATGCGTTGAATACACGTGATGAAGGGGGGTGGGAGTGAGAAAAAAAAACCCACATCAAATAAGAATAATGTAATGTCGAAAAAGTATTGTTGACGTTTTAGTTATTGTTGACTGTCTAAATGTATGTAATGTTTGATTACGTTATTTCCAACCTCATGTGTCGACAACGGTTTATATGTGTGGAGACCAATCAGAAACACGTTTGGTATAAGATTGGGGGGAAAAAAAAAGAGAAAAAAACATAGCATCTATTATTACGCGTAACAATGCGAGACCGGAATGCTAATGATATGATAAAGCATAACATTTATTTGTGGTTAAATCGGGATTTCGAATTATTTGTTGCCTATTTCTAGTATTCTCGTAATGGATCTATCGATAGTCGGAAGCATGCGTTCGGCATACACAGCCTATCAGAGCATACATTTCATGCTTGACGATTTATTATCATAATTCCACTATCAATTATTAATATTAATCCTTGTATGCTAGTTATAACAACTTGTGTGCGCACATGCCAATTATCCCAATTCCTGTAGTATTATTATTATGATGATTATTACTACTCCTACTTCTACTACCGTTACTCCTACTTCTACTATCGTTACCCCTACTACTATTACCACGTTGCTAACTTGCTACTACAAAGACTTGGCGTCTTGTCAAATGACTGTTGTCCATCAATTTGAAATTTTCAGCCAATGATGTCTATAGACTTTGTAATTGGACCCTTCACCTCTATTGAATCCACGTGGAAATAAATGTCGGATGACATTTTAAGTTTAGAAAGAAACAATATCGGAAACAATAATATATGGACAAATTGTTTATTCACAATTTATTTGTTCAGATAAAGAAGAAAGCAATTGGTGTCGAACAATAGTAATAATTGCTTGTTCGTTTGGAGGAGGAAAAAAAAAAAAAAAGAGTATATTTAGCAGCTAACCAAGTAATTCTAATGTCATACGAGTCACAGAAATAGTAAAAGAAACACATGAATAATATTAATATAACGCAAACACTTGCTTATTTTTAATATCGTTCTATTAATCCTTCTTCCATGACGTAACTTCTCCACACTACAAACTCCGAAGATCTTTCTATTCTTTTCCGGTCAAACTTTGCTTTGTGCGACGACGCATCTACCCCACACAGCAGAATTTTCTCACTCCTTCATTCCGAGTGGAGGTTTTTGCAATGAGAGTAGTAATAAATAGAATGGGAAGGCGTACAATGGCGAATGAGTGATGTGGGGAGAGTAGGTAGGATAGCAGTGATAATATTTGTGTATTGCTGTATTGTTTACTGTTGAATGATGCTTTATCATTTTACATTCCCCATTCAATCGCTTCTGCGGTAAAAGTGTCCATTTTTCTCTCTCTCTGTTTCTCTCCTTCCCTTTTTGTCGGTTGTAATTGGGGTAGTTATTATTATTATTATTATGTAATCAATATAGCGGAACGAGGAAAATAATAATAAGAAGAAGAAACTCCATTCGCAAAAGTCACTTTTGTGTATCTGGCCAGACAATTGAACTAGCTAGTTTTAAGACTAACTCGTTTTCCATTTAGCACGAAAAGATCGAACGCCCAGTGACAGGTTTGAATTTATCAAATGACAATCGGGCCATGCCACACTTGATAAGGTACTGTAAAGTAGTATAAATAAATAAAGATGTTCGAGTAAGTGTGCATAATGGAGATTTTTATTGATAATGAATTGAGACAATATATGTGTGATAGAATACTACTGTACTGGTAGTCTATTTATTATCGGTAATATATTTATAATACATTGCCATTTAAGTTACCTGTAATCTCGGAACTGTTTTTGTATTGAGTAAAAGATTCGGGCAAAAGCAGACCGATATGGCGCATCAAATAAAGTGGATTATTATTACTATTATACACAATATAAAATATGGGTCCCTATTCTATTCCCTATTGCTATGCATGAAACAGGTGAAAATTGCCAAATAAGTTAACTCGTAAACGGCTAAAGGACAATAACATGACAGTTCTCTTTAGATGTTTCTTCCATAGAATCAAGATAGGACGTCAGAATGAGCGATAACGATGTTGTACTAACTCAACTAAGCGACACAACCGCAACAACGATTGTGACTATGGCTGTTAGTAGCATAACGAGTGTGTGTGTGTGTAATAACATAAGGCAAACACTTTTTTTTTTTTTTCGTTTGCAGAATGTCGTTCCTTGTACTCTAGTTCTGTTAATTTTTTTAATCCGTTTTGTTATTTATTTTTCACACACTAAGTAAATCAAGCCGGGTTACCCGCAAAAATCATAGAGCAAAAAGGATGCGGGTATATGGGCATATACAGACCAAGAAAGAAGCGTTTCAAATTAAATATATATGCTGTGTATATGCGTGTCACTTTCTATTGAAAATACTAACTATTTCAGCGATGGAACACAGGACTCTAAATATGGTCGATGGAACCACCGAAATGTTGATTTGACACTTGACAGTAAACAAAACGAGAAATAGAGGGGGGTAAGCCTTTGTAAGATGAATGATAACGTATAAACACTATCTACATCGTAAATAGTAACTATAATAATGTAACATGAATAATGTGCACAGTATAAAAAAGATTAATTCTAATTACAATCTCTCCCCTATTTTATTGATATATATGTATGCTTATGTATATATATGTATATATAAATACATACGGCATACATACAGTCGAGCGTTACACCACCGATATTTAAATATGCCAAGCGATTGTAACAAGTTTTATTCAGGCAGGCGGAATTTAGAGAATGATGGATGCATTTAGGCTGAATGAAATGCTTGATGTGTGATCATTCATTCACAAGTCGTTCGACAATTATAGCCATTATAATTGCAGCAGGTCAAACTCCCCACCAAACACCCTTTTTTCTTCTCACTCTGTTCATCATTGATTCGTATATCGTTATATTAGTTGTACATCTTTTCATATCGCTAAAACGGGGGCTATATTGACGGCACATCATATATTGACGGCACATCATACAAATATCATACACACATATCATACACATATCATACACACATACACTAATTAATTGCCCAAACTCAGATAACAACAGCCGATGTAGCGTATTTCTCCATTTCGTTCGTTTACCATGTGCAGTAATTCCATTGGGGGCTTACATCATAATCTTTACGATGCAAATCATTTTGTGTCTAATAGCTTATTCGTATCTTAGTGTTGACAAGTGACATAATGGTATTACTATTAATAATGTCATATGCCAAGCCTTACATTAATAACACGTATAAATATTCATCCATATGGGTCGATCAATGCTAAGCGATAGTAGGCTATGTACTGTACGTATTGCATCATACGATAGCGAAATATCGGCAGACGCACGAACAAAAAGTATGTCACTCACTCGCTGTAATCATGATCGTGTTCAAAATAAAATACTGCTCCGTTATCATGTTCACCTATCATATCACCTATAATGTTCATCAATCATATCACCTATAATGTTCATCAATCTATATGATATTCATCAATCAAATCACCATCATGTTCAAAACCATCATATCACCATCATGTTCAAAACCACCGTCACTCTTTGGCTTTCTTACGTAATACAATCAGTCATAAATAAACCAACTCAAACCTTGAAAATTACACAGCATATCCCGGAAGTGAGTCATAGTGAACACACTTTGCATAGCATCTGCCTGCCTGCTGGCCCTGCTGCCATCGAGACAATCGTTCAATTAGCCCAACAAGAAACTAGAAACTATAGTAATGACAATAGCAGACCGCCTGCATCAGTTATTCATAATTACACATATACATAAACAAGTATGCCATCCACCAATTGAGCAATCCTGATACACAAAGCCAGTTATTTGTTCAGTCGAGTCACCCCATCCCCCATTCTTCCCCCCTTTTCAAGTTTTATTCCCGTTTATCCCTGTCCATTTTGTTATCCACACATACCCCTTTCTTTTTATCGCCTAAAGCCCTCAAACAAAACACGCGGGGCATTTTCGTCCTTGTCCGAAACAATTACGAGAACTGACACAGCAGCAAGGGCCACATAGGAGCAGGCATCGCAGTAGTTTAATTGACACAATAAAAATTACACAATAAGCTGTGATGATTTACTTGTCACTTTGACGCATTTCGTGAGGGCGGAGGAGGCGAAAGGATGAGAATGTGGGCAAAAAGAAAACAAACCAGAAAGAGGTAGATGTAGACAAGAAGGAAAAATCCCCACGCAGGAAACTAAGCGAATCATGTTTTATTTCTTTGGCAATTTAGACGCGACTCTTTTTAAAATACAGACTATACTGTCTCTCACTCTTTGACCACCCTGTGCCACATAGATTGTGGACACGTGAACTGATTCTTGCATTATCACAGCCCAGTGTGATAACAGATAATGCATCGAATATATATATAATAATGTATGTGTGTGGTGAATACGAATTATTTATACATTTACCCGTTCAACCTATCACCAATATGCATTCTCCTGGAAACACTTGCTGACTCCCAGCATAGCTCATAATAAAGAATGCAACACCAACTTTTACTCCTACATGAAATAATCCAATGTTTCCAAAACGTATTGCCTATATCGCGGGGGGCCGGACTTTCATCCGTTGCAAAAAAAGAAAAAGTAAAGAGATTTGATTGTATGCTCTTCTCCGAGATAAAGTAGCATTAAGATTTGTAGATAATGAACTTTAAAATAATGAGTAATCTTTTGTGTAAACCCTATTCTATAACCATGCATATATACAGAAACTTCGGAATGTACACACACATCACACATACGCATAGACAAACCTATTTTTTTTTTCTTAATTAAACCAAGTATAACAATCGCCCCAATCGTACTATATTTATCCATGCACATCTACTTTTTTTATTTTGTCAGATGTGGATGAATGCGCCTGTCTTATTGTCATTCAAAGTGTTTTTGGCTGGGTTGTTGTTGTTGTTGTGTTGTTGTTGTTGTTGTTATTGTTGTTTCCGCTGCTGCTGCTGCTGCTGCTTGCTGCTGCTTTTGTTGTTGTTGTTGTTGTTGTTGTGTTGTGTTGTTGTTGTGTTTGCGCTTTTCTCATTGTCACGAGAATGCGGGGCAACAAATGCTGAACAAGGAGAAGAAGGATAATGTGTGGGTAAGGGATACATAGCACTATTTAGAATGAAAGGAAGGGGGGTAAAAGAATTTACAAAGCAATCCGTTGATAAATATAGAATTTAATATACTTAACATTTGATACGGGTTAATAGATTATAAATAAAGTAATTTATGTATAACAATAACCTTAGTTCGTGTGTACGATTATTGTAATGGTTATCGTATTACAAATTTGGGTTTGTTCCGGGAAATTTAGGATTCGAAAAATACAACTTTCCATTTCCGTTTCTAAAAATATACAAAGTGATCGTTATTGTATTTCACAGCGTTATATCGGCAATGGAACAAAGGGAAAAAATAAAATTTTTTTTTTCATGGCTGGGCCATTCTATTGCAATCCTTTTTCTCTCTTTTAGTTAGGACACATCACGATCACTAGACGTGCATACAGACATAGCAGATACATGTCTGACTTTTTTGTCAGTCTTATAATGTAGATTGCATGATACCCAACCGTCACACTGAATGCACAGTAACACTAAACAGTTACAGTTCAATAATATAAATATCTGATGAATATTGTAATGATCAAGTCTCGTGGCATCACCTCGTGCAGCACAGTCTGTGGAGTCAGGTGCTTAGATGCTAGACTGCGCCGAGATGCCTGCATTAGAGAAAATTGGGGGAATGAAAAGACTGAGCAGATTGATAACAGTGATCATTATTAGCATTAGATTGGCGTGTTTATCGAGTAAGGATGGGATGTGGATGGGATGTGGATGGGGTGTGGATGGGGTGCGGGTCGGGCAAAGGACACTGGTCGTTTAGAATGCTGTATCTGTCAGCGTGATCGCATTTGCATATGGAACATATCTTGCTTGTATAATTAATTATTATAACTCATGTTCTCACACGAATTGCTCAATGAGTGGGGTGGGGGGGCTCATGAACCATTCAAAGAATGGATGAGTAAGAATGAGATCATGCTCATAATCAAAACAATCTGTGGTAATTTTAAATGTACAATCAATTATATCAATCATTTCATATTATCACGTATGCAATTATAATAATTATAATTTTTTTTCTTTTTTTTTTTTTACCCTTTTCAACTCAATAGTTACATGAGCCAATCATTCATCGCAAGTAAATGATTTTATGCATTTTATTTACTTACACTAATCAACAAGTAAACCTCATATTACTCGTTTTACTTACTCATCCATTGACACGTCATCTGGTAAACATCTTGGCGTCAAAATTCGACAACATCCGAAGTAATCGCAGTAAAGGAAATGCAAAGCCGTGATTTGTGCGAGAGAGACAGTTGCAGAGTACAGATCTAGAATGGTGTCTATTGTAAGAGATGGATTCGGGCTAATAGCAAAAAACAAACATGACAATAATAGTATGAAAAGCGTTATTATTGTCTATGGTTAAACGACAATCATAGTATGATGTCAACATTCTTTTTATATAATCGTCATCATCATCATACATATTTGCCCCTTGCTCATGTTTCCTTGTTCATATAAAGTTTATACTACACCCCCTGTTCTATCGTCGGCTTTACGGTTTTGCAATGGCCTTTTCCTTACTTCCATAATAGTACTGACTTATCATTCTCCCCAAAACTGACAACAATAGCCGACGGTTCTCTTGTATAAACATTGTAAGCATGTGGCATTGAATTCGGTGAGAATTGGGCGGATAAGTGTAATATGTAATTAATTGTACAAAGACTTATTGGATAAAGATGGGCAATTGCATTAAAGAGGCGATATGATAATAATAAGGAGGCTGGTTATTAAATGTCAGAGCAGTATCAGCGGCAGTATCAGCAGCAGTATCAGCGGCAGGCAGCATCAGGCAGCGGCATCAGCAGCAGCAACAATAGTTACAACAGTGACAGCAACACAACAACACCAACAACAGCAAGTAATATAATCATCATCAGCAGCATCAGCAGCAGCAGCAGCAGCAGCAGCCAGCGGCAGCCAGCAGCAGCAAGCCGTGACAGTAATAGTAATTAGTAACAGTAGTAACAGTAACAAGTAACAGTGGGCAACAACACAACACAACACAACACAACACAACACAACATCAACAATAAAATAACCATTGCTTTTGATCACTATTATCGTCATCTGTTTACTACTGCTATGACTTATTCTGCTAGATTGTCTCATGCACAAATAGTAAATATGGAATGCGCAGCGGAAGTTGTGGAACGGCTAAAGTTTCTACTTTACCGACATTTCTATATTAACAAGCATGTGGCTTGGATTGGATCCGGAAAGGTGGGGTGACTTTCGGGTTTGAGTTTAAAGTGTAAGAGAATGGGTAAAAAATCAAAGGGTAGTATGAATTGCACGGAATACATATGAGTTGAACATACAGTCTAGATTTTGATTGCCGCGAGTAGATTGCCGTTATTCGTATTCTGTATCTATTTTAGTTGTTATCATTTGATTCTATTATTAAATGTAATGTGGCACATGTTTTTTGTCTTTCAGCATGCGGCGTATTTTGAAGTAAGGGAAGGGGGGTGAGGAAGGGGAGAAGCTGGATTGGACAAATATGGAGACTGCAATTTTATTATCCGGAATAAAAGTCTAATTATTATCCACAGAAAGACTCTTAAGGAAAAACGATGAGCGGACCCTCCATTGAAAGGTTGATTAAGTATTCAATGCAAGCCAAATGGAGAAGATTAATGACGATGATTTAGGAACAAGGAAAGAAGGAGTTGTGTGGAGTGGAGTGGAGTGGAGTGTGTAGAGTGGTGTGGTGTAGAGTGGAGAGTGGAGAGTGGTGTAGGGTGGAATGGTGTAGCGTTTGAATAATTGAATAATTGAATAATTGAATAATTGAATAATTGAATAATTGATTGAATGATTGAATAATTGAATAATTGAATAATTGATTGAATGATTGAATAATTTGATAATAATAGTATGAAAGGCATAGCGGCATGTGTAATTGTGATGTCGATACTAATTATCACAAGTGTAAGATTTGTCATCATTCCGCGATGTTGTCCCATTATCTATCATGTATTTATCACTACTTATCACAACCAATCGATATCTATTGATTGTGTTACTCGGTAATCTTTTTCCGCCAAAAAGCTTTTCAAACGTGTCCAATTGCAATCATTGCATTGTTTGTACTGGTCTTATTAGTTATGGCGTACGAAATATATATACCTTATTTAGGAGACATGAAAATCCAGGCAACAACAACAACGTAATAATAAATAATAATAAATAAAATAAAAATAAAAATATAATAATAGCAAGAAAAACCACTTGATAGCCACAACCACGCAACCACACAGGAATAACTATCGCATCATTGCCGCAATAATAATAATAAATGGAATAGCGTTAGTTGTCCGTCTGTAATAGATGCCTGTAAATGGGGGTTGTTTGTATGTAATGGATGGTGTATATTTGTGTACACACATATATATCGGGTAAAAAGGTAATCATTTCAAATCCCATTTTTATCAATATCTTGAGATCATAAAGTCGGTGTTCCGCTGTTTCGATTGTGAATACATAATTGTACAGACATACGGACTTGTGTAAAACCAAGGGAAAAAACGCACAGTTCTCATCTATAGAGTTGGGGGTGAAGAAAAAAGCTCAGCCAATTCGCCAAATAACAAACACATGATTGATTGGCAACAGATATGCTTTATGGATTGTTCAAAAGTCTTGTGTCGTTTCTGCTGTTTCTTCTTCTTTTACATTCTTCCTACATCCGTAACCTTCCTTGTTATTATAGATGGCCCCTTTTATTCGTTCAAAGCCTCACACACTCGCACACTCGCACACTCTTGCCCATAACAATAAACAATATCAGACTAGTAATACATTATGATTACAAACAGTATAATATAGATTGTATTTCACTTTTGCGCATCAGCCAATTAGTATCTGGGGGTGTGTATGTGAATAGAGGGAGAATAGAATTAATAGAATTGGGGGGAATGGGGGGGGGGGACATTTGATAAGATGAAATAGGAAAAGTACGGGTACATAGGATATAGTGTATATGGTGTATATAGATGGTGTGTATAGATGGTTATATTGTGTATATGGTGCATAGATGGTGTATATAGATGGTTATATTGTGTATATGGTTTATATGGTTATATGGTTATATGGCTATACAGCATGGCTATACAGCATGGCTATACAGCATGGCTATACAGTATGGTTTATACAGCGTAGCTATACAGTATGAGTTATACATTTATACAGTATGGGTTATATACTGTACTACTACACTGTACTACTACATACACCGTATAATATAGTAATAAAAATTATGTAACATGTGTGCACCATGACTTATCATTATCGATGTATATTGTTTATATTGATCCGGCGTTTGCCTTATTCGATTAGACAGTGATGAGCAGAAAACTGTCCAAACACACGTTTTTCCATGACAACGAATTCCTCCTCGATAATAGGGGGACATTACGTAAAAAAAGGGGAGTATGAAGGATTTTTAAACTTAAAGTGTCAAGGCAAACAAAGGCGGAGTTTGATGAAGGAGGGGAATGAAAGAAGGAAATGTAGGAAATTTGAGATATTCGGTTTTTCGCTATAATGAGAAGTGTATTATGGCTGTACATTGATTGCTTGTATGGGAATGTTATGTATAGGAATAATATGCTGTGTATAATATAATATGTTGTGTATACGTTATATTCTCATTCTTAATCTTATTATTATTATATTGTTGTTGTTTGTTATTATTATTATTATCATCACCATCATTATTATTATTGTTATTGTTATCGTTATCATTATCGCCCGTTGTTGTATGTATGTGTGTATGTATGGTATATGTGTATGTGTATGTATGGTATGATGTGATGTTGCCTACTGCCTACCTGCCTACCTACCTACTGCCTGTCTGTCTGTCTGCCTGCCTGTCTCTCTGTCTCTCTGTCTCTTACTTGCATTATTATTACTATAATCAATCAATCAATCCATCTGCCTATCAATCAGTCGATTGTTCGATTATTTATTCATTCATTCAATACTTATTATACGCATTTATTGAAAAAAAACTTTAAACCTGCCGAATGCAACACAAGTTGCATCATTTTGAATACAAATGAAGAGTCGGGCATAATATGCGAATATATGTTGACAGCTATTACAACATCACAAAGAATGCTATTACCAGTATTAATCAACTAGTTATTTATAATTGATATTATTGCTGCCATTCTTTTACTATTATATATCATTCGTATATCATATTGTTATTATTACTTGTCCTATAAGGGCATTAATGATGACATGTAGACATGCTTTTGCTTCATCCATCTTCATCCATTCGTCGTCCATTACAGCAAGACTTGCTTGGCCTTCGCTTATTAACTATTACTGCTCGGCTCGTTACCCGCAGCCATCATCCTTCTGTATGACATCAATATCTATAATTCATTTATTGTATAATTCTATAATGCATTGATTAGCGAATAACACAAATATAAATAAATAAGTAATCAGTAAAAGAATCTAAACATCAAAATAGAACTGATTAAATACGCACCAACCGCATCTGCATATGATGAAGGAAATATACGGATGCACTATTGTTGTTTGATGTTGATGTTGATGTTGATGTTGATGTGCGTATATTGTGTGTATACCAAGCATATTGTAAGTGTGCGTATACCAAGCATATATACCAAGCATATTGTAAGTGTGTGTATCAACTATTCAACTATAGTTATATGTGTTTGTTGTGTGTGTGTGCACATTTCTTTTTTTTTTTTTTTCCTTTTTTTTTTTTTTTTCTTCTCCTTTTTCTTTATTCTCTTTCAAACAAAGTACTTTAAAACTCTGTTATTAGTTTTGTATCAGTACTATTTTAGTATAACATATCAAATAATTTATACTACATGAATTATAAATACAATTTCAATTTACGTAACCTCGATTTTTTTTAAGTATAAAAAACATGCAATTAAAACAATAAGAGTACAATATAAACACCCTAAACTTATATAAATCCGTATATTCTTATTTATTCGCAACTTGTCTCAGTTATTCAACTCAACTCGGCCAAACTCAACCAAACCCGACCAAACCCACCCACCCACTTTCCATTCACGCCACGAACCCCCCCCTTTCTTATCCCCCCCCTAATATACATGTCTCAGCAAATTGAATAAATAGACCCCGTCCCGGCCTTTTCTTTTTTTTTTCACTTCGTTTCCTGATCATATTACAATACAGAAACAAAAAGTCAAAAAACAAACCAAATCATAAAGACTCTAATTTTCTTCGTTTCAAAGAGTGTCCTAGATCCAAATTATCCAAATAACTTGACAATTACTTGACAATTACTTGACAATTACTTGACATCACTTTTCCCTCTTCTCCCTTCTCAAAACGCGAGCTCTTTCAAAATGTATCTAAACTCTACATCCGTGTGTTCGCTACCAACGTCCGCGACATTAACGATCAACAAACTACAACCTTCACTACGCAATATAAGACGATTTAAACCATTGCCTCCGCTTCCGACATCGCAATCTCCTCATATAAGATACATACAACGTGTCCATACACGCGATCCGCGACGACAAAAACCTACAACAAACACAATTATTACTAATACTTCTAATACTCAGCTAATATCTCCCATACCACTCACCACCACCACTACGACTCGCATCACGAACTCTTATCAAGAATCCCTTCTCGAACAGATGCCGCTGGAACGCGCATCAGACTTTGCCGCTCATGTGGCTCATTACCTTTGGTTTACCGATCTCCAGAACACTCCCTTCTGGAACTTCGATTCCTGTCAACCCCGCACTCAATTCAAAAAGTTCTGTCGCGACGTAGTAAATGCCACCCAAGTCTCCCATTCCGTAATAGCTCTCTCTCTACTATACATTTACCGAATGAAAATAAAAGTCCCCCCCATACAGGGACATCCTGGCTCCGAATTCAGAGCATTCACAGTCGCATTGATGCTTGCCAACAAGTTTCTCGACGACAACACATATACAAACAAAACGTGGTCCGAAGTCACGAATATCCCCGTAAAAGAGATCAACATTATGGAAATGGAATTCCTCAGTTCGCTAGACTTTTCCTTGTTCGTCTCGCTCGACGATTACTACAACTGGGTCTATTCCATTGACGCTCACATTCCCAACAACGACGACTCGATGAACGACGATTCCAATGCTCCCGACTGTGCAATTCCTATTCCCCAAGCAATAGACTACAACCTGCAAGTTCAATCTCAAAACATCGTTCCCATATCACAACCCCAGCAATTGGTCTCCTCAATGGTATGCACGTCTACCGCATTACCCATGGAAACCATGCAACAATCTTCTGCTGTCTCGACGAGTTACAAACGATCCGTTGATCAAGCATTCGTCGATGGGATAATAACGTCTCCGCCAAAGAGATCCAACGCGAGCTCGAATTATTCCGTATATGCAATCCCACAAACACAACAACGGCATACACAGCAGCAGCAACAACAACAACAGCAACAACAACAACAACAGCAGCAGCAGCAGCAGCAACAGCAGGTTGTATATCAACAAGCACAGACAGTGACATTGCCAAATAATTATTTTCCAGCGTCAGTAAACGTACAGTCGTCGAATAACGGGCTCGTATATGGAAATACGACAATGTACGATTTCCAACAGAGCTACGGGAATGCACCGTCACAATACACTTTGGTCGATCCTGTGAGCGTATTATATACGGCAAGTAGAAGAATGTCGCTGTATAATGTGCGTGCATCGGCACTTCCGATTAATGCAATCTCATTTCAAACGGCCGTGAATGCCATCTAGACTATAAAAATTGTAAGAAATGTATAGAATCATAAAAGAGAGCTGAATTTGGGGATCAATCGAAAAAAAAGAAAAAAAAAAGAGTAATAGAAAGTGTTGGAGACTGATATAATATTTCCTTTTATTTTCAACATGTTTATTTCCTGCATTTTTTCGTTATTACTTTGAACATTTATTATACCTGCACACATATATATATACAGGATTCATCTTTTATTATTCTCTAATGGATGATCAACTGCTCTTGTGCGTGATGATGGTTTTATCAAGAACTCTCTCTCTTATATATCTGTAAAGGCGCTTATTTTCATGGCGCGAAATATTTGTCAGTAGTATACTTTTTACTCCTTGTTTGTACAGATTTGTGATTAGACTTTTTTTTTTTCCTTGCATTTGTATTTTAGTTTTATCATTTTGTTTTTTTTTTTACAAACTTCCTGCAGTCGTTTATTTTCCTACTCACACCCCTCACGAGTTTCGCCTATATTTTTTTCTACTTTTACTTTTTCCTGTTATTTTCTTCCCTTTCCCACTCGATATATTAAAAAAAAGTATACATATCAAACTTAGATTAGTTTAGTACACTCTTTCACACAATGTTGAATGAATGAATGAATGAAAACAAATGAATGAATGTTGCAAAAAGAAAAAGGAGATGACATGAATGACAAGATTTAGCATATGATAGTTTTGGTGGTGGCGTTGGTTTCTAACGTGATAATGAAACGATTCTCTAATAAACTGAAGCGATGACAAATGGTGTATATTTCACACAAAAATCTGTATTGTTGCGTATGTTGTGCGTGTTTGTTGATTATTGTCGAGTGCACATGATTTTACTATATAAAACTGGACAACTGCAGAGTCCCGTGCTCGGGTAAAAGGACTATACGCACGCATCACTCCTTTGTCGTTTCTTTTTCCTCCTCTGCAGTGAAACAGTCTGGATTCTATGAACCATTCGTAATTCTTTGTCGATAGAATTAGTAAAATAAGGATAAAAGAGGCTTTTTTTTTCCGCACAAAGAGGTGGGGGGAGGGCGCTTTCATGTATGAATGAATGGTTTTGTATGTATGTGTGTGTATATGTGTGGCTTCTGTGTGCCCCATGATACACCGAGGGAGACTATTAATGGTTAACCTAAATTGAGACTATTACGATAGACAATTCCGGCTTTCTACATACAATCATTAAATCTTTGCTCACAATCCGAACTTTTTTTCTATTAATAATACTACTATTTATCATTAATCATTTATTTGCCTCTTTTAAACCTCGGGTTTTTATTTAAGAAATCGACATCCCATTTGAGTCGCAATTGTTGGTCAAGTAATACTTGTTTGCTCACCCAATGAAAAGCGTGACAACTTGTCTATTTCACGACGTGTTGTGATATTCCGGTGACAAATGAAGCAAACAGCGTATATAAACAGCGTAAACAGTGTTTGTTGTTGTTGTTATTATTATTATTATTATTATTATTATTATGGTTTTCCTTAGCTAATAATTATTATTGTCACCGCAATGTCATCATCCGCGTGTATAATCTATTATTATTATATCAGCTGAGCATTGCTTCAATTGGTCATTCACGTGAGGATACAAAGTATAAACATATATTAATATTAAAATATACTTAATTTATAAGTACATCAAACATTAACCTTAATATCAATCAATGTTGGTCGCTGCTAAAAAATTTAATATCAATCTTAATATGTTTGCCATAGTAACGATTTGTCATATTGTTTACATGAACGTTCGGCACACTATTGAGAGGCATGAATCACTACATCAAATCAACAAATAGCCGACATTCTGGACCTTTTCCCTCTGGTACATGAACCTACTACTTTAATTGTCATGAGTAAGGAGCACAGGAGAAGGAGGAGAGGAAGAATAATAAATGAATGAAATAAATGAACGGAACAGGTTAATTAGGCAAGAAACTACTACTCAATCACGAGATCATGCTAACGCAAATTTGTGACCAAGATTCTTTGTACGATTGAACAGACCCCTGTCTCCTCACGTTTTCTACATGTATCAATCGTCAATAGGGATAAAATTCGCAATGTCCTTTGTGCATCGCAAGTGCGCATAACTTTCTCCATTTGCAGATCATCTCTGAATAGTAAAAGGGTGACTATTCTTATAATTTCATATTATTCTCGATTGAACCTTGTATCGTGAAAGTTTTAGTATCATAACGATTCACCATATATTTTGGTTCCCTTTTTTCGTAATCTATTTTGTGGTCCAACTAATTGTATTGCGAAACATTCAAGCATAAGCAGAATACTTGCACTAAAAAAGCCTCTGACGGACAAAGAACGCAGGATCCCCACGAATAAAATATTAGCCGGTTTTTGGCGACGAGGTCGTCATCTGTGTAGCAGTTTAAAGTTAGTAAATATTCGGATACTCGCAAGGCAAATGACAACAAAAAGAACAGCTATTGTTCTCTTCAAGATGTTTGAGAATAAGCTTCTAAAGTGCATCCAATCATATGTAAACAAATCGTTCGTGTAGATCCTCAGTCTGCGACTAGATCATTCATGTGAAATTGTATGTATCGAGACGCATGCGCGATACCTCACCTGTTGTCTCTGCCCCTCCTCCCTTCTCAAACTCCACTTTTTGAAACGAGTATCTATTGTGCTTTCTTTGGTTGCGGAGGAGAGAGCGGTCAGTTTCGTGATGCTGAGACGTAAAAAATCGCCACAAATTTGCTAATTCGGGTAATGCTCGCTGCTATACTGTGTAGCCCGTGTAATACTATTCGTTTTTTCGAATATCAACAAGGCGACAATACTACTGATTACTATATAGCAAGACTTCATTTCTGATATCAACAATTGTAAACAACCATTATAACAAGAAACAATCTGTACCTTTCCACATTTTTACTTGACACATTCATCGTATGAGAAATCAAAGAATCGCGATTTAACATTATTTTTCCCAGTGTTGTGAATACTAGACACGGGTAATTTTATTCCAACAGCGAGAAGCATGTTAATGTGCAACATTTCTAACGCACACTTTAAGTTACAAACAGTCAATTTGATGTCACTATCTGCTCTTCCAAAGTACCAGCTTCATTAAAATAAAACTTTGTGGAAAACACTTGCTTGATTGACAAGTTCGAGCTGTACTCCTTATTTAACCGCGAAAGAAAAAGGCGTTGTCGTCCTCACACAAACAAGAACGATATTATCGGCGATAATAACCATTAGACTTTGCAAGAATAAGGATGCTCTCAAATACAAGTACCAATTACTGTAAATACTGGCTAGATTAGACCCGTAAATCCCCTCAATGTCTCCTCCTCAGATTAGTCGCATGGACATACACAATACGCGAGCTTAAAATACACTACATGTATTGTCCTTGCACTGAGAAACGTCATCGGGAGTATCCGATCATCATAAATCGGTAACCTGTCTACAAATAATCAACTATTAAATAATGTTTCAGCACACACACGTTTTACCAACGTCTGTATAATTTCATGTCTATCGTTGCGCCCTTAATTATCGTATTCTACCAGTCAGACCTTGTGATAAATAACAGATGAGGCTTTTATGACTGCATCGGAATTTATAATTTCCTTTGAGCCATGCCAAGCCTTTTCCCTCTGCATATAATGTCTCATTTCATTATTAAAAATTACACACTCGGGGCCAATTCTTTTCCTTAAGCGTTGTTTTGCATTGAATTATTCTCATGTAAATATAAACAAAAAGATTAGCTTTTGGCGAGTCAGATAATGTTTCCAACTTTCCTTCGGAATTCTAAAATAGGTTTTAACAACGAATTTATTTATAGAATTCTCGCGTCAATTTGGGTGTGTAAGCTTACGTGTGGCCTATTAATAACAAGTTGTTGTTAGTATGTATATGTAGCATTCAATTAAGCTTAGCCGACCATCAAGACATTATATAAACGTTTGTTATAATATTATAACTACTACTAATAATAATAACGATAAAGACTAAAGGGACATCTAAGCAATAATCCATAAGTTACGCCAACTTTCGGTCTAAGCCGAGGTTTCTCGCACAATATAACTCTGTTCTAGCACAATATATCATCAATATGTTTCATTATGAGTCTTTATTTAATCGCGAATATTATTTAGTGATTGAGTAACGATAAATATTCCAACCTCATTATTAAATAACTCATTCTTTTGTGAGAAGATTCTTTCGCTCAAGGAATACTTCTTTTCCTTGTGCGACTAACAACTGTATAGTATACAGATACGCTAATGTGAGAAGGGTTTAATGCCGAAACGTGGGAGATGTTTGAAATACGCCAGAAATATTAGGAAATATTGGAACGTAGGTTACGTTGGAGATCTTTATATTCATTAATCTCGCGGATGAGCGTAAACTAAATGACGGTGAATAGTTTTGGATAACGACTTATTTTTATCATATGAGATCGAACATGCCTTTTCAGTCTTGAAATCATTTACGCGTTTAAAGCTTTGTGATCAAAAAAAAAAAATCGAGACAGATAGAGCCATGATAATGTATGCTAAACGCGGGAAATCAATGAGAGCATACGTTAACTTTATAATTATTCTTCAGTTCCCCAAGCAATAACCCAAACCATCAAGTACAAGCGCAATAGTTATGGTATTTTTATTTTAATTCGAAGCATTTAAAAGGATCTTCATTGGCTAAATCATATAGCAGATTAAGTCACATGACTGTCAGAAATTTGATTTCTTCCCATTGCAAAAAATTCCCTTCTCAATATTACATGTTATGGAAGAAGGCAGCCTGATATTAAACATAGTCAATTCAGCACCTGATAATGACAACAAGAGCTTACGTTCTCAGTGGAAAGGCACAAATGGAAGTTGGAAAGAGAAGAACAGGATTAGAAGAAACTTGAAGAAAGCTTCATGGAAGACTAACAAGACAGAGGAGAGGAATAATCCAATAGCTACATCAACTGTGCCAGACAATCAATCACCACCTGTTACCAAGGAGAGATCAAATAACAAGGTACAATTGCTTCCAAGCACGGAAGTAATTTCTTCTCTTTTCACTCATAATCCGGAAATACCACAATTGCCTCAATCTTCCCATGATAGCAGCCATCTGAATCCAAGTAATGCTCCAAACAAAGATGCACTACCTTTTTCCAACATGGGACTGGATGATGATCTCTCTAGGCATTTAGAAGAGGAATTACAAATACGACAACCGACCAACATTCAATCTAAAGCTATTCCGTTCATTCTGACTGCTGTCAATGATCACAACAGTCATGTTGATGCAGACGTTAAACCGGCAGATATTATAATACAGGCCGAAACAGGGTCGGGAAAGACATTAGCATATTTGCTCCCTATAATTCACTGTCTGCTGCGATCTTCAAGAGAAACAATTAATTTATCACGACAGGTGAAACTTACTCGGTCAATTGGTACACTAGCCATTATACTGGTTCCTACTAGAGAACTTACTAAACAAATACTTTCCGTCATCGAGTCTCTGCTTAAGAAACCATCATTTAAATCAGGGCAGAGTCATTTATTACATTGGTTAGTCCCAGGAACAGTTGTAGGAGGCGAGAATAAGAACCATGAAAAGAATAGGATAAGGAAAGGTATCAACATACTAGTAAGCACACCCGGACGGCTATTAGATCACTTGCAGAATACAAAGTCATTTGCACTTGATAGTCTTCGATGGTTAGTACTCGATGAGGCTGATCGACTGCTGGAATTGGGATTCGAAGAGACGCTTGAACAGATTAGTAAATTGCTCAAAATAAGAAGCGAAAATTATAACAATCCTCAGAACCCTTTCGCACAAGCTCCATCGTGGCCCACGTTCAGACGCACTATTCTATGCTCAGCCACTGCTAGAGATGATATCCGTCAATTCGCTGGATACACTCTCGTTGATCCAGTATACATAAACGCGGATGATAATGGATCTGATAACATAGGCGTTGAAGCTGAGGCAGTAAACTCATTATCAGACATCACAAAATATCCAACACCAAAGCAACTCAAACATAAATATGTAATAACGCCTGCCAAATTACGACTCGTTACTTTAACAGCAATATTAAAGTCTACATTCAGAACTCATTATCATGGACTTTCAACTTGTCGTAAAGTCATTGTATTTATATCCTGTTGCGATTCAGTTGATTTTCATTTTGATCTATTCGCTAACGCTAATGCAGCCAACATACTTACGTCAGAAGATATGGAAGATGTTCAAACAACGGGGACAACAACCATCGAGCAACATACGATTGATCACAGCAAAACAACAATAAATTCTCACGACAAGTCAGTTCGGCTGGTTGGCAGCGTTATTCCCAATATCGGATTATATAGATTACATGGGGATCTGCCTCAAATAATACGCATGAAAACATTACAACAATTCAGTGAGGCCAATTCGGGAATTCTCTTTTGCACAGATGTTGCTGCTAGAGGACTCGATCTTCCGTATATAGAGAAGATAATCCAATACGATCCACCGTTAGATTTACTGGATTATATACATCGAGTGGGAAGAACCGCTAGATTAGGTAAAAACGGAGAATCGATCATATTCTTATTACCGAGCGAAATCGGTTATTTAAATGTACTAAGCAGCATAAAGCCAGAAGCATTGCAAGTAGAATCTATATTGGAGACTTTAGCGTCATCAAAACATAAGGAATATGAAGCCGAAGCTACTAATATCCAGTTGGACTTTGAGCGATACGTTCTTTCTGATCCAAAGGTAAATATCTTACAAGATACTAGAAATGAAATCAAATGACTAAAAAAAACAATAACAAACACACCAGACCGTTGATAACCGTTTCATTAATTTTTTGATTTTAATTTATCCCGCATTTCCGTTCACTCATCTTCAACTTTTACTAATTAATAGTATGCTGAACTTGCTCGTATGGCATTCCTGAGCCATCTACGAGCATACGCTGCCTACCCGTCTTCCGAAAAACATATATTTCATATTAAAAAATTACATATGGGACATATGGCAAAGGGCTTTGCATTGAGAGATGCACCATCAAACATTGACGTCAGTCAAAAGAGCATGGAACATAAGAAACGTATTGGACAGAAGAAGGGGAAAAATAGTGGCAAGAGAAAAGAGCTAGATAATAAGACTGCGTTAAAAACAAAGCGAAAATATGACAGCAGTGAATTTGCTATTCCCGATCTATCGACTTTATCAGGACCGACTACCAAGAAAAAGAGAAAAAAATAAACAACATACTATTTATTATATCACCATTTATTTCCTTTCTTTTTCTTCTTTTTCTGTTTGTCTCCTCCAGTCTTGGGTTTTGGAGTTTCTGTGTGCGTTGAAGGAGTACTTGTTTCAGCGACAGCCGTTGTTGTAACACTACAAAGGGATGAAGAAGCCGTCAAGTCAGTCAAAATTATACAATTAATTGTGTGCGATACAATAGTGGAACAAGATCAAAATTAATGACCTCTTCCCGGAAATATTGGCGCTACCAGTTCCTCCAATGCCTCCGCCCGCCACGGCGGCACCTTGAGATCCTTTGTTTAATTGCTTCTTTCTCTTGCCTCTGTATGTTGATCTCTCTCTCTTTGGCAACCAGCGTTCAGGATCTGGAGGAGTATTGGGATCATAGTTCTTAGGCAACAATGGCTTACGCTTATGTTTCTTCTTTGTCGTTGTCTTTGAAACGTCATCACTGTATGGTGAAAATGCGGAAATTGAGTGCTGCATAGATACAAAATCACAATGACAATATACAAGTAATACCTTTTAGCGTCGGTTTTCTTGTAAGTTTTCTTGACCCCAGGAACTACACTCTCAAGCTTGTCCATGTCTGTAACAGACTTTGTTGTGTCTAGCGGAGGCAGACTACTCTCGTGACTTTCGGCAGAAGATACGTCGTAACTAGCTAGAGCCATTATATATCCTGCCATAGCTTGAGAATCGCCGGGGTCTGCTTTAATTAAGTGTTTATAATCTTCAGCTGCTTCTCGGAATCTCTCAGTCTTCAACTTGAAAGCAGCGGTCTGTCGAAGGATTGATAAACTTTGGTTTGTCTAGAAAATTGAAAAATTTGTTGAGCAATACGTGTCTCATTGATAGCAAAGCGCATATCATTTGTAATAAGTCTCATACTCACCGGACCGCTGGCTTTCCAAAATTTCTCTGCCTTCTCCAACACTTCGATAGACTTGTCAGACAATCCTGCTTGTTCATATAGCCAAACCAAGAGTCCAACAACGCCGGGTCTGTATTTGTCAGCGCATTCTCCTATAGCCATCAAATATGTGTTGAGCGTAGCTATCGCGGCCGTAACATTAAATTGTTGAAGTTGCAATTGAACAAGGGCGAAATGTATAAGCAACGATTTTGGTTTCTCTTTGGCGAATTCTTGTAGATCTTGAATAGCTTTCGTAGTCTTTTTTTGGCGATAAGATGCGGCGGCAAGTAGAATGTAGTGCGAATCATCGGCTGGGTCAATTTGTAAGATTCTCCGTGCAGCTTCTTGAGATGCGGCGTACTACAGGTAGGCTAACTAGTTAGTCAACATGCAAGCACGGGGAATAAATCTATTATAATCATACATTACGATATCGTAACTAGGAAATCTTACTAAGTCTGTATTATTACCTTCTGCATATACAATTGAATCAACGCCTCATTTGTGATAATTGTTCGCCGTTGTTTCTTGAATAATTTGGTCTCCAAGCTTTTAGATGATGCGGCTCGAAGTTTACGAGAAGAGTCAAACAGATCTTGATCCTTTTTAAGAGCAGCCAGGTTATTCGACGCCACAGCCGATATAGTTATGTCTATCGTCCTGTGTTTCAGCACCGATTGATAAAGTTCATTCGCCTCCGTCGCTTTGCCTTTGAATTGACATAAATAGGCTAGCTGGACAATTACGGTAGAAAGTTCTTGTTCAATCTCTTGTTCTGTGTAATCTTCTTCGGCAAGGGATTGTCGACAGAGGCCTATTAATAGTATTGAACAAATACGATAGTAAAACAGATCATATAATTATGCATACACGGAACATGAGATGATTGGAGAGCAATGTACTTTTAGCCGTGTTTAGTAGCTTCTCTGCTCTATTCAGATTATATACTGCTATTTGTCCACATGCAGAATTATAAGCAAGTTCATATGTATTTGTTACGTCTGCCAATGCATACTATAATGAGATATACAACCAATTATTAGAGCCATTAAAATTTAGCGAGAAATCAACGCAGCGAGAAAACGGTATCATACCTTTGCGGGCAATTTTCCATCAGCAAACAATAATGCCGCCTTTGCTGCAACAAAGTTCGTCAAAATGTCATTGTAAGCATCATCATTCTATTAATGATATAAATGAGGGGTTTAGTTCAAGTCTTGGACATACGACAAATTTATAAACTAAATGAGAGACCTTGTCAGTTTCGTTAACAAATTCGTTATATAAATCAAGGCAAGTTGTAAAGTCCTCTGATCTGTATGCCTAAATATTCACAATCTATCAATATGCTTTTCTCGTACGCTAAATCGCCGCTATGCCTACTACCAACCGCCTGCGCTTTTAAATGACCCAAGTCACGCTTTCCCGATGTATTGAATTTGGTGGTAATCTCTAATACTTCAGACCATCGATTCAGTCGGTACAAACAGTAACCTCGTTCGAAAATTAGTTGGTCTTCAGCAAAGTGCTTTACTACAATATCCAGTGCATTCTGATATTTTTCAAGTTTAACCAGTGTTATCACTTTACAATGTAGAGCATCGATATCATTTGGGATTTGTTTAAGTACTGGATAAATGGGAAAAGTCAGAATGTAAATCAAATGGGAAAGAAACAAATTATGTGAATTGCAGCGCACATACTTTTATCGATATGTTTGAGTGCCTTATCGTAATCAGCTTGGCTGAGCAGTCGGTCTAATTCGGCAAATAATTGTGTGGCATTGATGTCTTTAGATGACTGCATTTCTGTTGAATTCTTTCCCTGGTGATTTAGGCTAAAATACGATTGCCAGTTGATCATAATCACGTGTGAATAAATCGTCCAGTGTAATTCTGTCTTTTTGATTAATACCTATTCTTGCCTACAATAAGAAATAGGCAGCTCTAGAAACGGGAAGACAAATTTGAGAAACAATAATAGTTTCAATATGAAAAAGCGCATTTAATAACAGCAGTGACAGGACATTATATCACTTATAAGTATCTTTGATAAAATATAATGTATAAGGAGAATGGAGATTATAATTTTATTAGAACGATGTCTTTTGTGATTGTACACAGTTCAGACATGTAAACTGACATTGAGAACTAACCGCTGCGCCGATATATATTGCACTGTTGTCATTTGCATAATGCAAAGATTGTTAGCCGGGAATGTCAAAATTCCCAAGAGGAACATCCAATTATCATTTCTTTTATCAACCCCGGATTTTATCGAGTAAGATAGTCCATTCTAACTAAGAGGCATAGAAAAAACCGGCCGGAACAATAGCAGAAAAGCGCTCAAATAGAATATTTCCTTATTTAGCGTACTTAAAACACGTGTAACTTTTTTGGTTAAAAAATATAATATTTAAGATTGTGAGACTTTTTTTGGATAAGGCAACCCTTTTATATTCCTTAATTGATCAAGCAATTTATTTCGTAGCGAAGCATTAGTAAAGAAGTTCACAAGTTTCCAAGGATGGAAAACCGCAATTTACTGCGCGTAGCAGTCTAGAAAAATAATATATAGACTGAGCCGTTAGCATTGAGCATGTGTATCAATAATATCTTTCCATTCCGACCCCCATGTCTAAGGCAAATAATACAGATTTTGATTCCCGCGAGAAGGGTCTCAAGAAAAAGAAAAACCAAAAGAGAGTATCTCGAACCTGGTTCGTTATTGCGATTGTAATCAATGTCTTGATGATATTGGCTTCCGCATATATACTTTACTCCTGGCACGAGGTATATAGATTCTCCATCGACCAATTTTGCTCAATGTCGTCAACTGCCATGTACCAAACCTTTTTCTACTTACTGCTACTTTAGTTCGGTGTGGTGAACACTAGCTACAAGAACTACATCTTGACACACGCAGCCGCTGATGTCTTTGTTCGGGCTGTGCTTATCTTATTGGCTTTGCAAAGGCACGGGTCTGGCTTTGCAGTAAAAAATACTCTTGGGTTTCTAGTCGGTAAGTTGCGCACGTATGACCTCGATGCATTAATACTATTGAATCATGGGCGTGTTCTGTCTAATCCAAAAACTTTCTTCATTCTAGGAAGGGAAGACTATTACCTTTTGTCCCATTATAACAAACGCAAACGTCGAATGATTCGTGATGCCCTTAGATTGAAAGCCATGCTGGTTTGGTTCGCAGTATTTGGAATGATTGGTTGGGTATACGCGATCAGGGCTGCCATGAATAAGCATAATTCCATTTTAATGTATGCTTCGTATGGCGGCGCCGTTATAGTGGGATTTTATTTGATGCTGAACACCTTTGTGTTCAACTGTTACCAGTCCATGAGGTATACAGTTCGCATCAATGGAAAGGTGGTCAAGAAAGGTGGTGGAAGGATCCATCTGAAGGTAGTTGATGATGACTCTGACTCTGACTCCGACGATGATAGTGATGGTAGTGATGAAGATAATAATGAGGATGGGGACGATAATGGGAGTGATGGTAGCGATGATGATGACGGTGATGATGGTGACGACAGTGATGATGGCGGTGACGATGGTGGGGACGGCGGTGACTAAGAGATAATAATCCATATAGAATTAGAAAATTTAGAACGGAATGTATCAGTTTACTGGCGGCTAGTTGATATAACAGGAAAATGCAACATTAAATCTTCCGTTCAGATTATACTCGTTTTTAGAATCTTGACATGCCATGTTTTACCCATGCGAATCTTGAATTGAAATCCTTACAATGCGCTAGTACTAGTCATGGGTTGCATTTTTGTATCTCGACGATTACGACGTTGACACAACTTCTGATGAAGGAACGGCTAACGGGAGATTCGTTACAAATTTCCTACTGTAATGAATTATTCTTCTGTTATCTGAATGCATTACTAGCTTGTCAAACAAATTATTTAAATATGAACACGTCACGAATAACAGGAGGGGAGATTGATAGTAAAAAAAATTCTTTTAATAGTTGTGACTACAACTCGCCGGTCTCCGAATTCACACTCAACCGTTTTGAGCAACTAGTTTTCAACAAACATAATAATAAATGAGTGGTATAATATTAACCCTTTTTACATTTAAATGGACAACTCGTATTATCTGAAAGAATTTTTTGCAATTACGTGCAGCAATTTGCCAATGCCGTATTTGTGGAACAGGCGGTATTAGTATTTTCAGGGTCTTATTTTAAAATCGCATCTAATCCTTGATGCTGATTGACCAAGATTCTTGTCTCGTATATTGGCTTAAGTTGCATCAACTGTACTTCATCTGCAGCTTCTGTATATAGGATACCGTCTTGCTGACCATATTGGTGAAAAGACCCTTTTTGCAGCTCTCTTTAATAATGGATTATTTCTCCTGACGCCTGTTCTGTAATTAATATATTTTCAAAGAATTACATGTTAATGACAAAAATCCACAACTGTTCCATTAGACGATTAGTATCTATACCTTTTCAAATTTTATTTGATAAAGTGGATCTTTTTGTCTTTTCACCCAGACCAAGTATCCTTCCACTGATGGATTAGAGTGACTCTTAACATATGGCCACATCGCTTCGATCAAACTTACGGCTTTTCCGTCGGTTAACGATTTTTAAATAGCATCAATGTTATTTATCGATTGTGATTCTTACAGTTATAGTGTGTGTCGGGGGATGCTGCTCCTGTATCTCCAATCTGATTCAAACTATCCAAAGCTCTTTTGGTAGGACTCATAGTAAATAAAGCGTTGACTAATTCTATAGTCATTGCCTGGCGATAAATGTTGCAAATTGAATCCCAAGCCTTATGATTTTCTGCTCTAAATTTCAAAAAACCTGCCGTTGCGTGGACCTGTTCTTTTCCAGGACATAGTTGCTACTTTATATAGGCAAAAACTGAGACATATTGCAAATTGTTTGATATCAAATCAGCAACTATATTAATATAAGAATTCATAACAAGCATTCAAACCCAACACAGCTTTACCAATTTAATGCCACATATGCACGAAGCATATTCATTTCTTCAATTTAGCTGCATGACGATATGGAATGCCATCGTAAATCACGGCCACCCATTTGCGTATTCCATCCTTGACTCCCGATATTTTCTCAATATGCAGAAGAACCTTTTCAACGTTTGCGCTTGAATTGGGATTAACGTTGAGGGAATCAGGGACAAAGATTTCTGGAGTATTAACTTCTGGATCGGCGAACGGTCTCTGAGTAATGCTGATTCTCGTCGAAACGGAAGATTTAGTTTCCTTGTCAAGGCAATAAGGTTTGTAGATGGTTAAGCGGTCCGTTTGGCTTTTTCCTAGCTCTGTAGTAGGTCGTTTCGAATGTAGGTAGACGACATTGACACTTCGAACAAACTTGCATGCCGTCTCTTTTCGCTCTATCAAAGGTGTCAAATCCATTGCTAGAATCGATAACACAGAAAAGGAAATTGTTTTTATTGCAGTATTGCGTTCCCCACGTGAGACGGACTCTATCTCCGGCTTTTTATCTTCCTTCCATTTATATGGCTATGGAATCTTTCTCGATAAAAGTGATTAGAGATTCTCTCCAAGTGTACGCTTTATGCGTGAAGGGTCTTTAGCTTTATGACTTCCTGCTAATCGGAAACAATGGATATTCTTGTTTACTTTGTCGTCAATAAAAGGGTGCATTCTTTCTGGAACAGGTTCTAAAAGTCTAGACGTAAATTTTCGAGCCTTGGATGCGCCACGCACAAAATATTCGGGTGTTAGTTCCACTTAGACTCATTTGAAGAATCAGCTACAAGAATGTCATTCATTGAAGGATTTGATCTGGTTATTTCCTTTATAGCACATTCTTAATGTACCATCTTTTTTACGCATAATTTCTGTTTCGCAGTCGTACAACCGGAGCGAGAAGGCTTTCGCCCGAAAAAAGGGAACGCTCGGGAAATTTCTTTCTCTCCTTATATATGGCCGGGCCTGGTCAGCCATCGAGCCATGATAATTTCGCCCGAGGAGGAAAGCCGAAGCCGCGCGAAACGCACCACCTGAAGGATGCCGTGAACATTGGAAATCTAAAACATATTCCCTGTAAGGTATGTGGCAAGCCTACTGCTTCTGAACCAGGAACTTGTAAAAAACATGCAAAAGGTTTTTATGTTACAAAAAAATTTACACCAAACACGGAATGTGTCTTACGAAATGAGTAGGCTAACGCCTCGCGGTACCGCAGAAATCAAAATTGATATAAACATCAAGGTGATGGGCAAGAGATAGAGATAGAAATAGACTGAGTCACTTAATAAAAAATACAAAAAAGAGACGTATTAATTAATACATAGTCAAGGGATACTGGAAATAGCCTACAGGGTAAGTTAAGGCCTTGAACACGCATGCTCAACGCAGGACACGGTAGTAGGGATGTGTATGACTGTATGGAATGAAATCATGTACTTGCTTGGAAGATTGCCAGAAGAACGAGTGCGAAAACGTGAGACTTTTGGGTATGGAACGCCGTAGACGTGAGTTGTAGAAGATAGTCTCTTGACACAAAGTCAATGAAATGCGCGTTTTTGTGTTCGCAACGGGTTTTTGAATGACGAAGATTAGAAAGTCGTCAGGATCGCATTGTCGTTTATCAGTCACATTGCATAGAGGAAAACTTGCCGAGTACCCCGATCTTGAATTAGACGAACGTATTAGCATACTTACAAAATTGTGAAGCAGAACAACCAAAGTGTTCGTCGGAATCAGTGAGACGCTACGCAAACCTATGAGCAACTGTAGCTTGATTTCGATTTAGTGAAGTCTTTATATTATATAATTTAGATATGGCATGGAAGAAAATGACAATGGCACGTTGGCTTCATATTACAAGGTTGATGAGTATGCGCGCATGATCTGGCCGTTATAATAGGATTGTGGTAAACGGGACGGGGGCGTGCAAGCATCACGCTGCTAATTTCAAGAGAGAGGTGAAATCCATCGACTTTTACATTTCTCAACTTAGACCTTGATTCACTACCTAAACTCCAGAATGGTATAGTTTTATTTCGATTCCAACACGTCAAATAACGTTGACATGCTAGAGATCACTCTTTTCCGTTTCACTTTTTCCTACATAAACGGCATTTTGATTTCATCAAAGAACAAACATAACGTTCATGTTTTTCTTCAACAATAGCCATAGTAATTTTTCTTGGGTTGATGGAGTTGATGTACTAAAAGAGCGGCCGGTTAAATTTACAGATTGTCGTTGATGTTAGGCATGGAAGAAGCCTACATATTCAAATAGAAATCTGTATTTCATTAAGAACATTTATCAAAGCTAGGCCAGAACTCTACAGTTGATAATGCATTACTATTACCTATCGAATGACTTCATTAGAAATTATCGTAGAGATTTAGCTGCGAATACCTGCTTGTGATATGTGAGATTTTGCATGTAGCAGGGTTGTTTTGTAGATCGTATGAATGAAAAATGCACTGGAACGCTTCGATATCAAATCTCAGTTTCATATCAGCACGCTCTGCCATTGACATGAGTCGTCGCTCTAGGTACGACATTCATCCATACTCAGAGAGTATTCGAGTTACTTCTTCAGTGATGATAAATGGAACGTGTTTCACCGTGAGTAAACATGAACCCGCATGCTCCGTCGTTCCAATCGTATAGATTTCATCGTGCCGTATGTGTAGCCATATCCAATAACCAGCAACCTCCGCTCATCACTCACTGGGACTGTTACTATACTAGTCGTTCGCCGCGAGAAATAGTCAAGACTTTCTCCGAGTCGACGGAAAACTGAAATGATAGTAATTATCAACATAGCATGACCTTCATAATAATAAAGGGTTTAAATCGACGTTGACAACGATGAATACGAATGTTAACGTGTTTTTTGAATAAAATCAATGTCATTCGACGGTTATAAAATAATTGGGACCTTTTTTAATATTTCATTGATCTTTCGCGTCCGAATTAGGGAACTTTCGAATTATTACATTTTGGAACTTTAATATTTTGAACGTTCGAGCTTAATTATATTATACCGGGCAGCTAGCCTTTTTATAATAATTTCGAAAGGAATACAATATTTCAGTATAACAAAAGACTTTGATTTTTTCACGTCAAAATGGACTTACAATATGTACGTTCGTATCACAAACGCACGGTATTGTGTATGCTTCGGTTATGTCTGTGATGGATCAAAGTGTTGTATTGCATGTTGCTTCACTAAGTTGGGATTATTTTAAAAGTTCGAATATAAACATCAGATAATTGATACGCGTATGCTTGTCAATCCAATAAATGCGTATGTTTGAAGATCTGTTAGAGTAATTGCATGGGAGGACCCAAAGTATAATCTATTTCTTTGGTCGCTCTAATAAAAACCTATGCTACGCTATTAGCGTCATCTTTTCTTCCTTTTCTTGGACGATCCATCCCTCGACGGTGGGTTGATTTTGCTTCGGTAAAAAGTTTTTTAGAGACGGCGACGCGTAACTTGCGGATTTGAGTGGCCACTTGATTCAGAGTTCCAGCTCAGAATAACAGATAACGTTGCTCACTTGCAATGGTGAAAGTAAACATTTTTGGATAGTTTACTATTGTCATTTTTCATAAGACAATAGTTTATGTTAAAAAAGGTTTGTGATTCGATTTTCCAAGACGGAAAACGAGTGCAAGTCGTGTTGTTTTATAATGAGCTGATCATTGCGTACTCTTCATTAAATATATTACGGTTGCGGATTTTGAAGCAAGTAATAGTAATATTCATTTGTCTATTAAACAGACGCAGATAAAAAATAAAACGTATCAATACCCCTCCACAATTCGGAACAGCCCTTTTTAGTTTGTTATTGCAATAACAACAAGAGCTGCCATAATGGCAAGATTGCATTGCCAAATCTCTATTGAATCACAACCGCTGAATTTAATAATGATCAAAAACGAGATAAAATTATGCAGACGCTGCTCAACTAAACAGGAGAGTTAATATCAGGGTTAAGACAAATATGATGACTTCAGCACCATTGCCTGTTTGCTAGATAGTAAACCTGTTATTTCATCCATGTGACGCACACAAAATAGACCCGTGACCTGTAAGCCACAATGTGTCAAGAGATGAGATGAACCACAGAAAAGCGAGCACAAAAGGGCGAATACACATACATCATGTTACGAGCCGACGGAAAGTCTCCTTTCGGTTAGAATGCTATTGCTATGCATGCTAACAAACTCTCTTGGTGGAGACAAGAGCCAAACTACGTGTAGAATGCGCAGCACGCGCAATTTCTTAAACAGTATATCATCAGTGATTCAAAATAATTAATTATAAATTTGGTTTATCTGAAATATCATGACCGGCGGAATAATTCGACTGATGTCACCCACATTAGCGTTACAGCGCGTACACTTGTTGAAGTTATTGCACAGAAATGCAGATTTCTTACGATGCATTTATTGAAGTATTGCATTCTTTTCAACGATAAATTTAATGGCCCAACAACGCAGACGCAGTCGACGTCCATACAGCCTGTTTCATATTGTTTCCCCATCCCTCCGATTTCAACATCGATGACTTATACGCTAACGGAGCAAATCTAAAACTCTCATCTCATGCAGAATCGAGAATTTCTTGGTATTCTTGTTGAGAAGCCATTCGCTTGTAATAGCTCCACACAACCAAACAGAAATGAAACTAAAATTTTGATATATATAATTGGATAAGTCATCATGAAATAAGAGAAACGAAACAGATAATGTCGAGTAAATGATTTCCTGATTAAAGATCTCACCTGAAGCAGCCACCAAAATGTAGCAGTTATAACGAACGCAATAACCAAACGAATTTCTTCTGAACAGTCATCCACTTTTGAGCAATCGTCAGAGACAGTCAAAGAAAGTAAAGTAGTTTGGAGTACGATCGACAGAAGAAGCGTGACGGCGTAAGCCCAGTACAATATGGCAAAGGCTTTGACAAGTTTGAATTTACCCTGTTGGAGGGGAAAGAAGAGCGTGTAAAGGGAAGAGGTGGGGGCAGCGTGTGAAAATAACTTTGTTCATAACACTATATAGATGCTGGCCCTATGTATTAGTATCGTACCTTCTGAACGCCATAAAAGCCACAAAAGCATAATAATGCAGCAAGCAGATAGAAAACAGTCAAGAAAATGGAAACCCCGAGTCCTTCGTCGGCACCCGGTCTAGCAATGGCAGCCAGGAAGTTGGATACCTGCAGTAAAGGCAGAAGGAGTGAGCGCGCCGTAACAGTTTATATATCGTATGAGAGTTTCTATTGATTATATGGTACCATGCCCAGAACGGCCAATGTCAGAGTTGCCGGTCTGAGAGTTTTTATAGAGTTTGAATTTAATACCAAGACTTGTTACAAGAACGAAACGTCCACTTATTATTTTACCTCAAGTCAACGCAAAAAAGGCACTTTTCAACCATAGTGGAGTAGTAAACCGAGAGATTGAACAAGGTGATGATGAATAATCAATTCAAGACGGTATAAAAGTACGGACATTTTTCACACGAACACAAAGGCCGAAACCAGGGTTAGATGGCGCACATTAACATAACAGACAGATTGCTGGGGTCAGAATAGTCATGTTGTAACAAAAGGCGTAAACTGCTAAAATTCACATGATCCAATAGACTGTGGTTATTTTAACACGTGATTTTATATTTGAGCTTGACAATGTTTTTAGGTTTCTTGGCGTGGAATAAAGGTTTTCCGGTTATTGGATTAACAAATGTTATTAATTTCAACTTGCACAACAGATCATCGATGGCCTCAACCTAAGTTCAAAAAGCTCTCTTTCATTAACTTGATTAACAAAGTACAAGGAGAGTTGATGTAAGCATCACATCAGTAGAGCGCACTTTAGCGATTTGACTACCTGAGCCTGGCTGTCTTTTTAAAGATAAAGTGAATAGTGAATAGTGAACATAATAGAATGTAAACAAATGTATAATTTATCAGCATAAGTTTTCGTTACCAATTGGTGTAACGCATATTGATATTAATATTAATATGCTTTATTAGCCCATCAATATTAATTGTCACGGGTTTAGGTATCTAGTATCGCCAATAGTTAAGTTTGGTCTCATAAGGAGTCTCGTAACCGACTTGTCTTGATATGATGAAAATGTCGTCTGGGACGATGAGACGATAAGTTGTCTGCATCATAACTGTCGTGCAAATAGATAATTTATATCATATGACTTGCTGTGAAATGCAAGGTGCTAATGAAGAACAATTCACTTTATATTTACACTTAACCATACGGTTTTAATGTGTTCATAAAACCAGAATCGTCTTTATAAAATGAGTTATTGGTATGTCAACGACATGATTGTCTTCATATGATTGTCTTCATATTTAAGCCGAGTACTTGTTTTTATTATTTACACACGAGTGTACATACAATCTAATTTTGTTGTAGATACAAGCAGAGTTGGTATGGGGAAAACGCTTAGAAAAAGCAAATCGAACCCGTCAAATCGTCACCACTGATATTGTTAATATAGGCGAGAATGAAATATACGACAGACATAACAATTCGGATTGGGAAATGGCGAATAATTGTAATTCTATCGAAACAATCGGTAACGACGTGATAACAATGATGATTAATACTGAGCCATTGGACGAAAACGATAAAAAAGATATTGATGTATGGCCTTGCACTTTAGATGTAAAGAGCGTGGTTGACCAGCGTTTCGTTGAATACGATAAAGTCCAAGACTCAAACTCCAGCATTTCCTCTGATGCGGTAGTTGGCGTACGGGTAAACCAACCCAAATAATAACGTATTACTCTTGTGAATAAAGACATGACATTATACTCTGTGTGGCATTATTGATGTGCGGATTAAGCTTATGGTGACCACCCGACGTTTTCTATGTATGGTCCATTGTAAATATATCATACCGATACGAGGTTCTGTCTGTATAAGATGTGAAACAATGTCGTCAGGATATTTTCAAAGGCATGCGTGCCACGAGTATTCTAGTTTAGTGATATGGTTGTTATCCTTGCAGATCTCGTTGTTGTACCTCCTGTCTCGGGTGACTGGGTTCTGGACTGGGTGACTGGGCTCTGGACTGGGTTCTGAATTGAGACAGGTTGCAACTCAGACGTAACATCATTATAGAGCATACTTATGCAAATACTCGGATAATAAAAAGCTTTGCCATCCACAAGAAAGAAATAATCGAGATTATACGCCCGTTCGCGTTTTTTGTAATGTAATTCTTGTATCCCGATTCCAAAACCTAATCTAAAAATTTTTAATCAATTATCGACAAAATGAGAAACTATTCGGAACTTATCTGCAGAAACCTTTTTTTTTTTGACTTGCGTTTTTTGTAACGGTATATACGTTAGACAATGTAGGCTTTAACCGATAACATTGCGTGAATTCGATGGTTAATCTATGAATACGCATTAACCATCGAATGCAGTCGTATTGACAATCGTATTGCACGACAATGCTGGAAATAGATATGCTATTTTAAATGCCAAAGTGTACGAATATCTTGTCTCAAATTAGAATTAGCAGAATTGCCTTTCCATTAAGCAGATCAATAACTATTCAAAGCATGTCTTCTAATTGGTGTTTCTCTGTTATTTTTAGCGTCCTGACATGCTTGGTTTTTTTTCTTGCACAAGTCTTTTATGCTAACCTTTTTTCTCCCGATTGCAAGATTGTTCAACGCTCCGTGCCTTTGATCTTTCTCGTTCATAAAATAAAAAGAATCGATTAGATTCTCACTCGGTAAAAATAGCATAGTGTGACGAATAAGGTGTTCAATTATCTAATATTACTATTACGTAGGAAAAAGATAAGCCACTACATAGAAGGTTAGGCATCGAGATTTAATATGCAGGAGTTCAACGTGCACTATATACAGCAAAATTATTTTAGCAATCCAATGACATAGCGCATGCCATACGCGGCGCAAACACATATATATTCGTGCTGTTCTTGCTCGAAACCTTCCTTCACCGATTAATAAGACAAGATCATTACAAATTACATAATAATAAAAATGAATCGCAAAAGCGCTATCATTGCCTTGTTGATGACAATTGCTCTTATAATTACAGCAGTCACGGCTGTTCCTGCGCCCCAAAAAAGAGCTTGTTCTGGTGGGTATTAACAGATAATAATTAGATGTTTGTTTCAAAGACGACTAAGCCAACATCATGACGCTAAAACGATGATTTTGTTCATAATAGATTTCGTTATCACATATCCTAGCGGAGGCGAAATATTGAAGAATGGATCCAAACAGAAAGTTGTTGTCGATATTAAAACCTCAGGCATAAAAGAAATTACAGCAGTCGATCTTTTCTATAAAAATGGAACATATTACGGCTTGTTATGGTCTGGAAATCAAGATCAAGCAACAGTAACAGCCAACACAATTACAGTAACGTTTCCCTTGCAAATCAATCCGCAAGTTATTCCCGGAATATTTTTCTATCGAGTATGGGGACAAGAACCAGCAGGACCAAATTGCTTTAAGACCAGCAAAGACTTCGCTATTGAAAAATAAAAGATAATATGAATAATAACAGTAGAAAGTAACAATACGATATGATTATTATTGCGACATTAGCACTTGTATCAGACAATTGCATTTCAATGGCATAATTGCTTGATTGCCATGTCCACTATTCTTTGTAATTGCGAATAAACCGAACAAATTATATAAAATTATTAGTATCATAACAACTGACTAATCTGAACCAATTCCTCTTTCTAACTGGGATCACTAAAAGTGATGGTACTCGAAGAAGAAGGGGTTGGAGAATGACACCGAGCCTTACTATTACTTCTGCTCAGGGGCATGCAATGCGGGCCCAGGTCGACCACGCGCAACAATCTCATATAGTCAAATAATACACAAAAGCGACATAATAATAAGTATACCTTAATTTAGTGTTACAGAAGTTTAAATATAACACAGATTGCCTTTCCCCTGATGAATGAGGCTTAATTTGGTACATTCATTATGGTGCAATTGAGTTTGATTCTTTATTAGGCATGCCGATGGGAGACAATATATTAATGTGGAGGCTTGAGTAAAAGGTTACATTCATAAACGGTAAGATTATTAACAAGCACAGTGAACGATGGAGTTGGCCTATTGTGAGAGCAAACTTCAAGCAAAGCTGGTGCCAGCTTAATTAGAATAACGTGGGTAGACTAGTGAATCGGAACATATGCACGTTGTGTAGAACCTGAACTACTTATTAAATTGCGTCATCTCTTAATTAACAATTATTAATTAAAGTTTGAAATGTTGCATTTCTTATTAGACATATTCAAGGTAACCGACCCATCGTCCGCTTCCATAGTAATAGTAGCTTGCCATTTGATCAGTAAGAGAGGACCGATTATTATTATGACAAGAGTGATAAATAAAATCAAGTTTTTTGGAACAGACGGAAAATAAGAAATAACGTACTTCAATAATATGCATATCGATGTAAGTAAGGGGGTTTAATGATCAGAACACACACATGTAAATCTGATAGCCTTTACCTTGAAAAATCGACCACATGTTTAACACAAACGAAATAACTTTTATTAGAAGTGTTGATCATGTATTACCGCAGATATATATTATAAAGAAGCATTAACTAGCAAGTGTCTTTTATCAAGATGAGCAGTACGACATGATACAAGGTTTGCGGGTATATACATATTTATATCCATATTTGTCAGTTCCTTTAATTGCGATTCATCCGGGGGAAAAAAAATGATGCTAGGGACAACAAAATATAGGATCAATCACTTTGTCTTTGTCATTTCGATCCCGAAAGCGACAAACGATGATAATTCGCGCGTAGAACTTTCAAAATCCACTTCTATGTCACCCATCTCCATAATCTTTCCGCACCCACCATACGCCTGTTATTACTCTGGACGAAAAAACGCGATTTGTGGCTGCTTCATTTCGAAAAAAAAGAAGGTCTAATGAGGAAGATGATTAGAAATTTGAATGTGTTATGCATACCTTTAAGTATGCATAGGCACTGCTGTCAAATAAATTAAAAATACTGTCTATGATAACGTCCTTGGACGTGTATATCCAATTATATGACATTTCATCGGAACAGGCAAATATGACTGCCACAATAAATCGGATGGATTGTAACATATCAATAGTAGGCATTACTACTATTTCCTGCATGATCTCCAGAGAGGATCAAGGCTTCATCAAGCAATGCCCGGAGGAAGATTCCCCGAGCGCCATTTTCATCTCGATCTATTACAGTCCCACAATTCCGGCACTTGTACATCTCGGACCCTCCTATTTTTGAACGCTCCCACCAGCGGCTAGTTTTTGAAGTATAGGCCTCATTTTGGATGATAACACGGACCCCTAATTCTTCTGCTTTAGCCACCAGGCGTTGGCGAAATTGATAGTGGTCCAAACAGAGCATTTTGCGAACGGGGTTTTCGTGCTATCTTTCTTTTTTTCGATTTACCGTATTCGACACCTCAAAAGGAGGAATGGTAATGGCATCAAATTCGCGAGTAAAAAATGCGACACTGAACTTTGCAGGTGTTCGTCCTATCCGAAAGATTGCCTTATCA